TATCGACAAATTGCCTAAGTCGTTTTTTTATTTTTTCAATTCTATTTTCACCGCCTTGTACCTACATGTACATATCACTCTTTGACACTTGCTTTACCGACGTTACCGATATATTCATAAAAAATAAGATAGATAAAAGGTGATACCGAAAAATACGATAGCTGTATATATTAGAACATCAGAAATAAAATATATCACTTTATTTATCCAGAAGACAACATGAAAAGACAAGCCTTGCATGCAGTTTATAATACCACATTTCGTAATATCATATTTGGACATCATTACCATGGAGATTATTAAAGAATGTAATATAGTTAGTAATATAGGAATTAGAGGAATTATATGAATAACATGCATATCTGAACCAAGTGACAATCAGTGCATGACAATAAGTCGTATAATTGAAATTCTATTCTGGAAATAAGGCACCGATATTGATAAATAATGTCAATCACATAAATGGACTCCACCATTGTTTTCCATGTTTACGTGTATTACTTGCCAGAGCCAACATCACTGCTATCATATCAAACCAGGCCAATATTCCATCAAACTTGGCCCAACTACCATCAGGTAGATATCCTTCAGAAATCAACTTGTCATGGTAACAAGAGCCTTATAGATACCATGCATGGCAACTGAGAAATAGGAATGAGAGCAGAAAACCCCAAACCTACCATAATGGCACTAATTTCAAAAATATTTCTAGGGGTGTATTCGACGATATTACAAATGCCCTGGGGTCTATATTACGATTCGAACATACCCAAAATGATATTTCGGATATTCATTATGGTCCGCCATTACTACGGCCCGCTGTTATGACGTCACACATTACTCGTATTACCAGATGTATTGTTCTAGAATATACCCCGGGTTAAATGCTGACTGCCAATTCGAAAAGATAGAATTTCGTGTCTCAATGGCCGTATAAAATGATTGAAACCGTAAAATATGTACTACAAAGTTATGTAATCTCAACCTCACTCATAATCTCTTGTTTTAAATGTTCAACCCAAGACGGAACTCCAACTGGCCCTTGTTAATTTATGTTGAACCTACGCGTCGACGGGATTATAAAACAAGTCGAACTTATCGAGTTTACATAACTTGCTGCGTGCGCATCGCGCTTTACGTTCGGGTTTAGGTTTTCGTCGTCAAAAAGGCGAAATCTTATCATCTCTATTAATAAACTTCATTTATGGTTATTAGAATGGTTAACCTGAAAATGTTCAGAAATGCGCTGACAAAGAAAACCCAAAAATTGCTATTATGTATGTATCTTTTCTTCCCGATTTCAAATCGGATTTCATATAAACTAATTTACATTGTTAGATTAATAGAAATAATTGACCTCTGTGCCCGGGCCTCTGTGCTACGTGTATGTCCTTGGGGCTAATAAAAGGTTTAATCGGCTTAGGAAAAGTTGTAATGTCTTACTTATCTGCGACAAATTAATTAGTTATTAAACCTGTTTATTACACTATGAGACATAATTGCTATATCACAAAGTTCTTCGGAATCCGTCCCACTCAAAACCTGGGAATGCGTCCAGTGTTGTCATTAACAGCCGGTCCACTGGTCATTATCTGGTTACTTTTGATACGGACCATTTGATTTTTTCACTAGGTATAGGAAAATAACATTGCAACTGGTCCGTAATATCATTTTGACCAGCAGGTTTCAGCCCCTTAGTGTCTACACTGAATGCGTCACTCGCATGTCATTTGTAGACGTCAGGTGGTTCATTTGAAAATGAGCTGGTAAGAGTTCCCAAATAAATGTTGTCAATAAAAAATCAAAATGGTTATTTCCTTTAAAACTAACCTAGCAATGCTACTTAAATCACCAGATTCTAAAATTTTCATTTTGCCCACCTCATTTGACAACGTTTGTTGTAGAATAGCAAGTACTGTCTTTTGAGGTTGAGATTTTCCGTGAGATTTTCATACAAAGAGAAATTTCTGCAAACATTTGTGACAGCATATCTTAAATACATGTACACATTTATTATGCATTTTGTTAAGCATCATGCATTATTCTAAATACAAATATGATCCTTTGGATTTTTGTCTTAATCATCATTCCGGAACTTTGTCGAGTTTTTAAGAAAGGACATATTATGAAAGTAAGATCGATGCCTATACAGGGCGTATCAAAAAATGCAACAATTAGTTATCTCGTAAAATCACAAAACTAGTGATGACTACATCAATTTCATTCAATGTACCATCAAGCCACGTCTCTCCTCTTTGCAATGATATGTCATTCATTAACATGTGGTAATGGTTGGGTGAGAAATCTTTCCATTTGCACAGTGGGTCAAAATCGGCTCTGCACCAAGTTTTAGATATTGCATATGGAAGTTCCCCTGACTTGAATTGTTGTGACTTTTTCTTTTAGAGCTATCTCAGGAGCATCTGTGCTTACAATTCCTTCACCAGATATTGCAAAACCTCGAGAAAGAATTGCCCATGGGCTGCTTTTCTCTGCCTTAACCCACAGATGACTCAGGGCTGAACCATGCATGACGTGGACAGATGAGCGCATCTTTATGTGCAAGGAAGTGGTGGCAATTTGGAGGGGTATAGGATGTATTCTTGCAAGAGTATGAGTATGAACACTTAACTGTCTATGCCACCCCTGTCATACCTTCTTCCAATAGCCCCTATGCCCCTTGTACTGCAATGTTTGAAACTTGAGTCCGAGCTGAATTTTGCCCCACTTTGCAAAATTAATGATTATTCGGCCAGCCATGACTCCCCGTGAATGAATGATATTCCATTGCAAAGAGGAGTAACTTGACTTTTTGGTACATTGAATGAAAAGGATGCAGTCAGCATTGGTTTTATGTTTTCTTCCAATATTGCATCGGGCTCCGTACACTGACTTTTGCGATGTTTATAACTTGGTCCCAAGCTAATTTTGGCCCACTTTGCAAATGGAATGATTACTCGCCCAACCATGACCAAATATCAATGAATGATATATCGTTGTAAAGAGGAGACACATGGCTTTATGGTGCATTGAATGAAATCAATGCTGTTATCTTTGGTTTTGTGCTTTTCCGAGGTAACAATCTGTTGCGTTTTTTTTTGATACGCACTGTATAAAATATTTGGGATTTACTGATCAAATTGAAGTTTTTCACAATCGTTAATTATGTATGAGATTTGGATTTATGTTTGCATATCTGTTGTACATACAGTGTGGTCAAAAATATTATTACATATTGGGTTAGTCATTCATTAGAGGATTAACCTCAAGAAGGAAAAACTGGTTACCTATTTGGCAATGGATTGAAATTAGAGGATTAACCTCAAGAAGGAAAGCTGGTTACCTATTTGGCAATGGATTGAAATTAGAGGATTAACCTCAAGAAGGAAAATTGGTCACCTATTTGGCAATGGACTGAAATTAGAGGATTGTCCTCAAGAAGGAAAATTGGTCACCTATTTGGCAATGGACTGAAATTAGAGGATTAACCTCAAGAAGGAAAGCTGGTTACCTATTTGGCAATGGATTGAAATTAGAGGATTAACCTCAAGAAGGAAAACTGGTAACCTATTTGGCAATGGACTGAAATTAGAGGATTAACGTCAAGAAGGAAAACTGGTTACCTATTTGGCAATGGATTGAAATTAGAGGATTAACCTCAAGAAGAAAAACTGGTTACCTTTTTGGCAATGGATTGCAATTAGAGGATTAACGTCAAGAAGGAAAACTGGTAACCTATTTGGCAATGGGCTGAAATTAGAGGATTAACCTCAAGAAGGAAAACTGGTAACCTATTTGGCAATGGACTGAAATTAGAGGATTAACGTCAAGAAGGAAAACTGGTTACCTATTTGGCAATGGATTGAAATTAGAGGATTAACCTCAAGAAGAAAAACTGGTTACCTTTTTGGCAATGGATTGCAATTAGAGGATTAACGTCAAGAAGGAAAACTGGTAACCTATTTGGCAATGGACTGAAATTAGAGGATTAACGTCAAAAAGGAAAACTGGTTACCTATTTGGCAATGGATTGAAATTAGAGGATTAACCTCAAGAAGAAAAACTGGTTACCTTTTTGGCAATGGATTGCAATTAGAGGATTAACGTCAAGAAGGAAAACTGGTTACCTATTTGGCAATGGATTGAAATTAGAGGATTAACCTCAAGAAGAAAAACTGGTTACCTTTTTGGCAATGGATTGCAATTAGAGGATTAACGTCAAGAAGGAAAACTGGTTACCTATTTGGCAATGGACTGAAATTAGAGGATTAATCTCAAGAAGGAAAACTGGTTACCTATTTTATTTGGCAATGGACTGAATGCCATGGAAGTAATATTTTCAACCTTAGTCGTGTACCCTGAATTCAACACGAATTATTGGTAAAAAAGACCCGTGTTTGGCCTTCAAATAAATAGAAATACTGTAGAAACTGATTCTGAATAAATGCCACTTATACAACTAAGAACCGATTTGACAATTGTGACTGAATTTCGATAATATATGACACTAATTCACTATTGAACCCATGCGACAAAACATGCCAGGTATTTGCCATTTTCTACTTAATATTTAAAATTCTTCTTGAGTATATGTTCCTGTTTTCTGACCTAACTATTACAATTAATTGCAGTAGAGACGTATACATTGATAATTAAGATAAAACAAGGATAAGAAATACACTATCTCTTTAGAAGATACGGAAAGGATAAAGGATTGGCCATCTTAAGTGAATCGAAGGAGTTAATGCATCCCACAATGCTTAGTATGAGAATTCATATTTTGCTCTCAATCACCATATTACATATATTTAAATGACAATTACTAATTCTAGATGTTCAGCATTAATTTTAATTCCCAATCGGTGCTTATATACACACACTACGTTCACATACTACGTTTTGGGATCGAATCGTTGTGGGATCAAACCGGTGTTATACGCTTATCTGATGAATGACGTAATGGTCGGTATAAAAGAGGAAATGCCCCATCATGCAAATGTGAATTTAAACCTTCAACATGATTGCTTTGTACGCAGCAGTTGCTGTTGCAGCACTATTCCAGGTATACTTAATATATTTTGTTTTTAAGATACTCACGTCAAAGAAGAGATAATTAATTTTTTCAAAGAATTGTGAATTCAAATAAAAATAAGATTTCTGCCTCACGTCTGGACCTCAACCTTTTATATCAGTGTTCAAGATCGCGCCTACAAACACATATTATGTGTGTGATATTAATAACCAATGCAATGCAAGATTACACAAAAGTATGTCACAAATGTAGTTTCTGTTTCTAATTTAACAAACCTCTATGATCTCTTTTTTTAAAGGTTGTTGCAATTCTGAGTATAGTGCATGTACAGTATATAAATCTTAATCACGCATTTGATTTCTTTACAGTGCTCATCGGCACAATGTAAGTATATATCTATCAATTTTTGAATATATATTCCATCATGGGTATATTTATTTTTACACCAAAAAATCTAAGATTGCAATATAAAAATATTCAAGGTCAATTTGCTTTTTTCGTCAAGATTGTTATGTTCATCATATTTGTCTTGGTGACCCTTCATTTTTCTATTTGGAGTCCCTTTACTAAACTCAGACTCTTCCTATTAGTTATTGCTAGAACTGAAGTAATAGAATCAAATGCTATAGACATTTCCAATTAGGCCTGTAACCTTTTTGGTACATCAAAGAAGATGATGTCATTGGCTGTACTTTCGAGTTGGCCGAGAGGGCTTAAACGCCGGCACGTTCAGGCTAGGCGATTGGGCGCCGTAACCACAAGGTTGCGAGTTCGAGACACGTGTGCTCCTTGTGTTTATTAATTCTTTGATCTTCCAAAAGGTGCCAGGGTTTATTGGAAAGGTCTATTCTATTTCATTGACTTGATGCGTTTTAGTCTGTCAGGATGCAACTCCCAACTGCCAATTCTGGAGGATGCAGGGACTGTGTCAAAGAGACCCCTATGTCCAACAGAACTGTAGACAGTCGTGTGGAGGATGCGGCGGCGGTGGTGGCGGAGGTATGTTTAACGTAAAATGTTGAAATGACGAAGATGACCGAGGACGCTTTAAGGAATCAATCAAATTCCTTGAAGGGTTATGATTAGTTCTTCAGCTATCTTCGGTCATGGTCCAAACATCATTAATCACTGTTGAAACCAAATTAATGTGGTTCCTCAATTAACTTTTTTTCCTCCAAGGAGGCATTGGCGGCTGCAGCGACCAACACCAATATTGCAGAGGATGGGCCCAACAAGGTCTTTGCAATTCCAACCAATTTGTCCAACAGAACTGCAGGGCTGCTTGTGGCGCTTGTGGAGGAGGTGGACCGGGACCTATTGGAGGAGGTAACTGTAGAGATCAAGATCAAAACTGCCAAGGATGGTCCCGAATGGGTCTTTGTAATTCCAACCAGTTTGTGCAACAGAACTGCAAAGCAGCATGCGGTGCTTGCGGAGGTGGCACTGGTGGTGGGCCAGGACCTATTGGAGGAGGTGGTAATGGACAATGTGGAATTGCCGGATACTCCGCCGATGAGGCTTCCAGTTTCATTATTGGTAAATTATTTCACCTTCCGAGTTTCTCCTGTTCCAAACATATCAAACTTATGTAAACCTGGGTCAGCGAAATATAAATGTATATATGTTCTTTTTTTTTATTTTGCTTATACAAGTATATACAACTCTCTCTACAGAATTGTACATATCGTCCATTAAGTATAAATCACCCTAAGCTGAGATATGAATTTATTTATAAGCTTCATTTTATTTCATGCAACGCAGATCTCTCAAAATATCATCGTAACGAGACTTCAACGAGATTTCAAAGCTAGCAAACCCTCCATTTTATCATTTTAGGAGGACGTGAGGCTCGTCAGAATGCCTGGCCTTGGCAGGTATCCCTTTGGTTCCAAGGTAGACACGGCTGTGGAGGTAGCATCATCAATAGCAAGTGGATCCTCACTGCGGCACATTGTGTACAAGGGTACGTACATCCACTACTATGTACCCCCTTAAATAACAACTACAACAACAGCACCATCTAACTGTTACATAATATCAAGTAGAAGGTGTTGGATACGAAATCATATGAAACAACTTGTAAAAGATCATTAGCAGCGCGCTAGAAAATAGCGTCTTTAAATTCTTAAATTATGGAATAGGCTGGCTTCATGTGAGAATCAAAAGGTTTTCCGGGTAAATAATATCTATTTGTAAAGTTTGTACCCAATATCATTTGAAATAAGTTCATTTCGAAAAGGACATTATGTGACATTATTAATAGCATTAATATCTAAATTTGGAAGAATTTGGCGTCAGGTAACAGAGGTGTCGAGCTTGCATATTTATAAAAAGCAGGTTTGTGTTGCTAGTGCGATATACAAATCGTAATAAAGGGACACAGATGTGCGTCGGGATTTTCACTCTCACAAACGTTTTAATTTCTCTCTCCAAACAAGAAATTGAATTCCATCTTCTCTGATAATATCTAATAATATACTATGTAATGACGATTTTATCATATAAAGTATGTTTTTATGTAGTTTCCGTTTATGATAGATTGGAGTTCTTTTACTTACAATAGTCTACAATACAGTAGATCATATTTGAGCTCAGATCAATCATATAACGGAATCGGGGATAATAGATTTAAAATAAGGACATTAAGATTGGTTTACACGCTATTTTATTTCATATAAACGATGAAGCTACAATAAAAAATATCATATTTCAAAGACACTGGTACTATTCTAGACCTCAACATGCAGTCGACAGGGGTGAGGCAAGGGATTAGAAAGTTCATTTTACAATCTGTCAATAAATTGTTTTTTGAGAACATGATAGGCGACGTTTATTTTGTATCTTCTTTGCAGCAAACCAGCATTTGGCTACGTCATCAAGGTCGGTCTTCATAACCAAATGATGAGGTCTTCAACCACCAAGGACCACAGAGTATCTCGTATTATTGTTGTAAGATTTTTACTTTTGTTGTGGTAATATTTATATAATTAACTAAATTGTGGTAGTCATATCATCGTCATAAGTTGAAATACTACACTCGGAGGAAGTGTAAGTTGTCACTCATTATTTTTAAAGTGTATTGTCAAATCACTACAGAAGTTGATTTTGAACTGGGAAGTGCAGACATGACTTCAAAATCACCAAAAAGTGTAGTGACATTCTAATTTCCTCCAAGCTTAAGTATGAATTTTTAGATTTTACCGTTCGAGACATTTTGAAAATATTCAACAGTTGTTTTCTGTTATTTAGCACCCAGGCTGGCAGAGGTCTATGGGCCCAACAGTGAACGACAACGACATTGCTCTGATGGAACTCTCTTCACCAATTGATCTGTCCAACTCTGGTGCCGCTGTGGTCTGTCTCCCAAGCTCTAGTGACCAGTTCAGCGGACAATGCACGGCTACCGGATGGGGTGAAACAATGGGTAATTGATTCTTACATATAATCTGAACATTATGCATATAGATTTTATCACTGACTTTATTTTTTTCAGTAGTTGGATTCTGTAAAATATCCATTGCAACAAATCTCTGAAAATCAAAGATCAGTAATCCCATCTGTTTGTGTTTTTATGCATAGATATGTTTCAGCATTTTCTGAAAGGTCAACAAGAAATGTTGAAAATTAAGAAAATGTGAGCATTTTGCTGAAACTTATTGAATGACCTGGTATGCTAGGAATTTTCCGGATATCTTTAATTTTTCCGCACTTGAGTTTGACTTTGAGTATTCCTTATATTTTGGCACTTGTGTTTTATAATGTGTATTTCTGATATTTTTGCACTTGTGTTTGATAATGTATATATCATATATTTTGGAACTTGTGTTTGATAATGTGTACTAGTATTTCTGATATTTTGAAACCTATGAGTTTGACAATGTGGATTTCTAATATTTTATGTACTTATGTTTGATAATGTGTATTTGTAATATTTTCCACTTGGGTTGAACAATGTGTATTTGTAATATTTTTCCATTTGTGTTTGATAATGTGTATTTCTAATATTTTCCCACTTGTGTTTGACAATGTGTATATCTGATATTTTTTCCACTTGTGTTTGACAATGTGTATGTGTATTTCTGATGTTTTTCTACTTGCGTTTGACAATGTGTATTTCTAATATTTTCCCACTTGTGTTTGACAATGTGTATTTCTAATATCTTCCCACTTGTGTTTGATAATGTGTATTTGTAATATCTTTCCACTTGTGTTTGATAATGTGTATTTCTGATGTTTTCCCACTTGTGTTTGACAATGTGTATTTCTAATATTTTCCCACTTGTGTTTGATAATGTGTATTTGTAATATTTTCCCACTTGTGTTTGATAATGTGTATTTCTAATATTTTTCCACTTGTGTTTGACAATGTGTATTTCTGATGTTTTTCCACTTGTGTTTGATAATGTGTATTTGTAATATTTTCCCACTTGTGTTTGACAATGTGTATTTCTGATGTTTTTCCACTTGTGTTTGATAATGTGTATTTGTAATATTTTTCCACTTGTGTTTGACAATGTGTATTCTGATGTTTTTCCATTTGTGTTTGATAATGTCTATTTCTAATATTTTCCCACTTGTGTTTGATAATGTGTATTTGTAATATTTTCCCACTTGTGTTTGATAATGTGTATTTGTAATATTTTCCCACTTGTGTTTGATAATGTGTATTTGTAATATTTTCCCACTTGTGTTTGATAATGTGTATTTCTGATGTTGTTCCACTTGTGTTTGACAATGTGTACATCTGATCAGATATTTTCCATCGTTTGTTTCTTTAGGTACTGGCAACAAACAGGTCCTCCAAGAGGTGAATGTACCAGTCTATGGTGATCAACAATGCAAGTCTTATGTTGACATTGTGTATTTCTTTAGGTACTGGCAACAAACAGGTCCTCCAAGAGGTGAATGTACCAGTCTATGGTGATCAACAATGCAAGTCTTATGTTGACATTGTGTATTTCTTTAGGTACTGGCAACAAACAGGTCCTCCAAGAAGTGAATGTACCTGTCTATGGTGATCAACAATGCAAGTCTTTCTGGGGAAGCCAAATCTCATCAAGACAGATCTGCATGGGAACAAACTCCCAGACAGCATGCTTCGTAAGTTACTCAATTGCTTTAATTACTACTCATATTCTAGATGTTTATTATCAACTTGAGGAAGACTGTATAGAAATATTTCATCAAAAAAGTTTTTTTCTGAATTATTTCCTGAATTATTGTGTCTTCAATCATGAAATCCCGGTCTAAATCCATTATTTGGACTTGTAATATGAGATATAGTTGAGATATGAATTTTACAATATAATTTTTTGCCTGTTTCAGGGTGACAGCGGTGGTCCTCTTGTGTGCCGACAGGGCAACAGCTACAAATTGGCCGGTGTGACGTCATGGGGAACCAAGCCATGTGGTGGCAAGCCTGCCATCTATACCAAGGTCACTGCATACCTCTCCTGGATCAACCAATACGTCAGATAGACATTTATAATATCAGTTTTTATTGTAACAGGGAGATTGAGCTATATAGTAGTTTAAGACAATTTTCACGTCAACGTTTTGTATGGTCGAGTGGTTATTTTAAAAATGTGTAGCTTAACCTCACTAATATAAAGTAAAATATAATGAGAGAATCTTGAACATATTGTTATGTGATTTCATCTTCTGAGAAATATCAGAGATCTGATAAATACTCATAAAAATGATTTCAAAATGCACCGCCTTCAATAATTTTCAAATACTAGTACACTTGGAATCAACTGGAAACGAAGACATCATGTCTTCGTTTCAGCATGGCCAATCTGCCAGTACATTTACAAGAGTTTGGTTAGAATATTTGTTTTTCTGATTTTGTCACCTTAATCCACCAACCTTTAACTTAGTATTTGACCAGTAGGGGAAATGCGTAAGTTCTGGTTTTGAAATATGATTACATCTCAGATATTAATTATTTCTTTATTTACAAATTAGTTCCCTCGGTTAGGAAATGAAACAGTTTTCTGTTTTGTAGCAGACCTGTACGAAGACCTGTTTTATTTGCAACCAAGACATTTGATTTTACTAGACACATTTGCACTTTAAAGCAAATTGTAGATGTCTTGGAGGGATGTAACTGTTTTTTTACTCATCGTTACCTCTTTACTTAGTACTTCAGATATCATTTAGATGTTCTGTCTTCGTTCCTCTTAGAAGCTGTCTTCGTTTCCCAACTGAGGGAATTGTTATCCAAACCATTCTCCAAACAATAACTGTATGTATTTCTTAAGTATAACCATATTTCGAAACTGGAACCTTCGCACTACATACGGGCCAAATCTTGAAGGACAAAGGTAATGAAATTGAGAAAACAAAAATGATAAACCAGAAGACACCAAGTCTTCGTTTCCAATTGATTCCCAGTGAAATAATTATAGAACAATCTTTGGGGTAACATGCCTAAGCGTATCACATGTCTTCGTGTGAAAATGGGCCGTTTAAAAAGTTCCATCATCCATGACCTCATTCTTTTGTTCAGATAGGTTTTTACCCCTGTTTAGAGGGACAGATCATGTAGCATAGTATGTGTTTATCCCAATTCAAACAGGGAGTCCGATAGTAAACACTGCCCTGCCCCGTGGATAAATATATGAACCATTGTGATATTAATCAATTGACCAAAGTCACAAGACCCCAACCTATTCAATTTCCCCAATATTTTATAAAGTCTAAGATTCTTAACATCCCAACGTTCCCTACATGGGATCTTTGTTCCATATTACAAAAAGATTAAAGGAGAAAACCGGGCAGGTGTGAATTTAGAGTTTCAATATAATTGTTTTTATGCAGCTGTTGCTCATACTAGATTACCAGTTTGATTTTCAATTATTTAAAGGACTAGTAGCTGTAATATTGCTCCTAATAACCCTGATATTATAAATTTATAATGATATGTAACCTGCACAATCAATAGAGACATAGATATGAACTTTCTTTTTGATTTTGAAATATTAAACCCTTAATATGTCCATGTAAAATAATTTGTGTTTACAGAATAAGTCGTATGGTAATATTGCATATTATTATATCATTGTCATATTCCCCACTCTCTGATTGGCCCATGTCCTAAACGTGAATAAAAAATAACAAGCGGTGTACAACGGAAGTCACGTGACTTGTGAAAGATAAATAGGTAGACTTAAATATTTGTATAATATTATATCGCAGTAATTAAACTACAAATAATACTTCGGCAGACATTATAAACGAATGCAGTTTGATTAATATTCAGATGATGGTATTTGATTAAAAAATGATGATACCCTCATATCCACCATCATCTAGAGGGGTCATCTCATACTTACTAGGTGAATTTATATATTTCGTATATTCGTTTATCACTTGTAAACCTTTTTGTTTAAATCGTGCGTTGGAAGTTTTGATATCTCTCCTTTACAGCGGAAATTAGAAAATAAAATTGAATTTTAAAATGCGAATTTTTGCATAAGAATTTCTGTATAAAGGAATGCGAATTAACGTATCCTTAGTTTCGAAGATCTACATTGTAAAAACAACAACTGGGGTGAAAACAGAATGTGGTTGAAGACAGCGACAATCCTTTTGTTAGCAGCTATTATAGCGGGTAAGTGTACTTTTGTTTATTAATTCATGGGTTTACTTTGCACTGTTAGATATCTTACAAAATTCCATTTACGAAAGGATTGGTATTTGACTGAAATGCTTTGAAAAATCGGAACGGAACAACAATTGTACGTAACTTATTTATAAATTATACGAATGCCGCAGTCTTCTGTTCTTCTTTTTATAACGTTATGAATTTTCTCCGGAACTAAAGCTATTAGAGCAACCATTTCGAATTGAAAGTAGATCAACACGGCAATTTGCACTCAATCATTTTTGAGTATCACAAGTCTTAACTTTGCATTGTAATGGTTTAAAAGCAGTATACAGAAGATATAGCAATATATAAAACATTTGGGCAAAACATTCCTTTTATCTTTTTTCTTTTATTGAGACATAAATGGATGAAAAATAGAAAGAAAAGCAAAACTGTTGAACAACTTCTTGAACAACATCTCCGGAATATACCATGAGATTGGTGAAACATTGTGAAGTGATTTTCTTTTTATATAGTTAAAGCTACATATGAGTAGTCCGACAACCAATGTGCTCCGTCGATATGAATCAAAACTCAGGACTTTTAGGGGATATTTTAAACATTTAACCATTTGTTTAAACTCCTGAAATTGAATGAGTCCTGTCTTAGTTTTTAGGTTAAACATGATACAATATCTCTTAGAAATTCAATATGGCCGACACTCTTTACTGTTGAAAATGAAATTGTAAATATGGATTTGTTTATGGGTAATAAATAAGGTCTTGAAGTGTTTGCAAAATAACAACAAACTTTTAAAATGACAGCCACTTTATTTGTTAAAGCATTATATTATTTTCATAACTTTAATAGTTTTATGAAGAATTTTTGAAAATTTTGAAAAACTTCATCAAGTCACCATGGTAGTTTTTATAAGTCATAGTTACAATATTGGTCTCTCAGTTGGTTGGTAGATAGGGGGTCGGTCGTTAATCTGTTGGTTTAGTTGAAGATCCGTTTCTGGAACTCATACTAATTCCCCTTGTCCGCTAACAGACAATAGGCTACCAGAGCGTAATGTATCGTAAAATACAATTGAATGGCTTAATATGAGCTTCCCACTACTATTATACAAATTCGATTCAGAATTTCTCATTTTTTCTCTCAATTTTGTCAGAACATATTACACATTTTTGGCACTGTTTGTTATTTTGTAGACGCTACAAGTAAATGGCATGAAGTACAACGAGATGCATGCATTGAGACGAAGAAGAAAATTGTCATTGAGAAGTCCAACCCTTCTCTAGAGACATGTAAGAAACTATGTGATGACGAGAAATCATTTACGTGTGGATCCATTGACTATCTGCCCGAACACAAAGGCCCGTTGTTTGGAATCTTTAAATCAAATGCAATGTGTCATATTCACGAAAACTCGAACGACGCTAAACTGTTTAACCCCTGTCCTAATCGTGATGGATGGGACCATTATGGGAAAATTATAGGTAAGCCTTGGACTTATTTCTTTGTTTATAAAAATATCATACTTTTGTGTAAGCTACTTCATACATGTTCTAGAGTTTAATACATGTACTAGTTTTCATTCATGAATCAAATGATACCAAACATTTAGGAGGACTGTATACATGTCCTAGGATTTCATACATTTAAAACATTTACCAGGACTTGATATATTTACAAGAGATCATATATGTACCACAGTTTCATATAGGCACCAGAGCTTCAAATGTGCATTGGGTTTCGTATAATAGAAATCCATATGTGTACGAGGATTACTTATATTAAGCTTATATACGTTATCATACATCACGTTTGTTATATTTTCAGAAAAGAAGCTCGCTACGCAACTCCCTAAAACTACCACCACAACCCGTGCACCAACCAGTACCACAACAACCCTTGTAACAAAACGTACCACAACAACTCGTGCACCAACAAGTACCACGACTCGTGCGCCAACCAGTACCACAACAACTCCTCGGACACAACGTACCACAACAACTCGTGCACCAACAAGTACCACGACTCGTGCGCAAACAAGTACCACAACAACTCGTGCACCAACGACCACAACACGTAGACCAACAACCACTCGGCTCACGAAACAACACCTCAAAACCAGGCTCCCTACAGCACACCCTAAAACCAGGCTCCCTACAGCACACCCTAAAACCAGGCTCCCTACAGCACATCCTAAAACCAGGCTCCCTACATACAGTCCATCCTCCCATAACACTTCTTTTGGTAAGTTAAACGATTATGGACAAAGATTACGGCGATGATGGAAAAAATTATTTGATAAGACAAGCATGTATGCGGTTATATTGTTTTAATTAGTTTCATTCAGCTAATTAACCTTTCGATGTTTATCACATAGTTAGTTGATATAGCTAAGTCATTTGTTTGGTTCTTCATTTGGCAATTTTAAGAGTTGTTCTTTTTAGGTTTTGGTTAAAGGACATTGTGAAGTTTGAGTTCAATTTGTAACAGATTCGATTAGATCAGTGGTAAATAGAATTTTTAGAGGAGTGGAGCATCTCAACCTTTCTGAAATGTTGCCATCTATATTTGCTTAGTCTAATTATGTTGGCATGTTTAGTTTACAACCTTATCCGAGACATTTAATAGACCACCATTTACTTAATGAAACTTTTTACACTTAATTTAAGGCATATAATACACCTTCTGTGAAAATCAATCAAGACAATTGATCAAGACAATTGATCAACTTTTACGTCAATATCACATATAGAACATAGCATATACCTAAAACACTGATGTGACTTTTTACAAGTCTGTGACGTCAAACTTAACCTAAGATTGCAAAAGTGACAAAAATCAGTTTGCTTTGTAAAAGCATGCAGGCAAAAGTCTTTATATATAAAATACTAATTATTAGCAGAATGTGTTATTAAATATACTCGTCACAAACTTGGAAAAAGTTACATATGTGTTTTTGTTATACAAGGGCCGATCAAAAAGTTTCTTACCGTTGGCTCTCAATTTCATAATAAGAGGAGTTGGAAGCTCAAACTTTAACATGAGACAGGATAGTTAGTTTCCTTGAAACTGTACGAGTTTCATATAAATTGGTTCATTGGTAGTGACACAGAGTCAGTTCATATTTTCAATGACAAAGTAAGGTGGAGTAGCGTTATAACTATAAAATATCTGCCGAGTTGTGGTTCTGGAAATTTACTGATATCGTCTCAAACCTCTCATACGAAGGCCTTAAAAGTGTGTTTTTGGATCGAGTGAACAGATATATGAAGTGCATTGCAACTGGGGTTGAATATTTTGAATGAGAATGAATATTAGCAGAAAAACTAATTAAACATGATTAAACTACAGTCTGTTGACAGATGACACTACTTAGTGTTAGAAAATTCCAAAACTGCAACTGAGCACAATTTTTTATAAAAAACACTGCTCCACCTAATTCAATCATTGAAAATATGAATTGACTCTGTGTCACCACCAATGAACCAATTTAAATGAAACTCAGACAGTCTCAAGCAAACTTACTACCCTGTCTTATGTAAAAGTTTGGGCATCCAACTCCTCTTATTATAAATTTGAGAGCCAACGGTAAGAAACTTTTTGATCGGCCCTTGTATGCTATGTTCTGTATGTAATATTTTGAGTAGAAATTAATCAATCGTCTTCAATTTTTGGGATAATGTGTATTATATGCCTTAAACTATGTGTGAAAAGTTTCATTAAGTTTACGGTTCATTTACTAAAGTTATTGGAGATTTTTCTTAATAGGAAGACTTTTGATACAGAGTGTACAATACCATATTGATATATTTTCTACTTCACAGTTCAAAGTCTCGGAGAAGGTGCCGTCAACTGTACTAGCGACCTTAACGTCAACATCCTTGTTCCTTCCTCAATTATCACAAAAGAAAATCTCAACACTGATCGACCATTACATGTTGAGGGCAACCCCGAATGTAAGATTACCTACAATGGAGGCCTCGCAGTATTCACTGGAGAGATGTCCCTTACAGAATGCTTCGAGCTAACTGTATGTTGATTTGCTGTAGTATTTAAGTATATATTTTCTTGAACATTACTTTATTCTCTGATATCTCGAATTATATCTCTTGTATCACAGATATCCAGGAGGACAGCGGTGATAGAAATGTGGCTTTCAACGATTTCATTTAATTTCACTGATAAAGAAGTGTCAATTGTCATGAAAAAATAACAATTGCTACAAAGGCATATCAATGATATATAACAATTATTATGATAACATACCAATAAGATATGTACAATGTAAAACCAAATACCTTACAAACACAATAAAGTGATGAATATGACTTTATTTCAGGAAGATCAAAATAACATTGTTTATGAAGCGAAACTCATTGGTGGTAGTACACCCGCTCAGAATGGAGTCATCATTCGCAAAAGTCAGTTTGCTTTAGACATCAAGTGTAAATATGACAGATTGGCTGAAATAGGGCCAGCTAGATTCGTCGCCACAAGAGGGTGAGTAGTTCACTGGAAACATTTTGCCTTAGATATCAAGTGTAAATATGAAATCGAACCAGCTTTTGTAACAACCAGAGGATGAGTTAAATGTGAAAATAATCTGTGCGTAGTATAAATGCATATACTCTTTTCAATAATTCATCGTTTTTCAGTAGAAATACATATCAGAAAATCATGTTATGACCATTGGTCCTTTTTCCATATAGCTCTGAAATCTCGTTAAAGTCTCGTTTTTAAAGAGATTTTAGGAGATCTTCATTTTTAACCATTATAGACTAACATTTTCTTCTATTTGATGGCATATTTGAATTCTGTGTGTAATTTTCTACCAAAACAATTTTGATTAGCACCATTATTTACCTTTATTCAAATTCTAATGATTTTATAGTTGTCCAAAAAAGGTCGAGCTAAATCCCCATTGACACAATGCTGAAAACCTTTAAAAGTTCATTTACTCTCACAAAGATCACAATTTTAATATGAAATCACAATCCACATATCAATGAGATTATATAGTTATATTATTTATTTATTTATTTATTACAGTGTCACCCGTAATTATACTTATATTTCAATCATGTTTTAAGTTGATCCAAATGGAATTACTTCTTAAATCAAGAAATTAAGTGACTCTGGTAATACATTTACATGTATTCTAGCCCTACCCTAACCCTACCAATACCCATGATGCCATCTATTTTCCATTTATTGGAAAAGGGGCAATTGGGCAATTTTAAGCATGGTGATCAACTAATTGTATTCAATGACACGATGTGTTGTCTTTTAATTAGGAAAGTGTCGTACAAAGACGAGGAAATGGGAGAGTTTAAGTTTAGTCTGAAGCTCTATGAAGACTCAAACATCACAAAACTTGTGTCAACTGAGAGAGAGGTAAACATTTATATGAGTATCCATGATTGCATTATAGTGTGATTAACGACAATATTAGTATTTATGATTACATTATCTATCTTAACATCAGAAAGATATAAAGCTACATATGAGTATTTATGATATCATTATTGCTTCTTATATCTCAGATCATTACAATCGCAAATTCCATCATTGGACGACTGTATAAACAATACCTAAAATATTCATGATTCATGTCGCTATTTACGACACTGATCGGTCTGGTTATTCATAAAAATAGAAAATTGTAAAATGAATATGAATATAAAGTTAATCCCTTCTATTTCAGATTACTACGACTGATATGGTATATGCTGATTTGAGAATGACAGAGATTGGTTCTGCTGTTTTGAAAATGGGTATCCAGGACTGCTTTGCCTCCCCTAGTGAAAATAGGGAAAACGCCATCAACACGTATCCTATCATTGAAGACAAGTATGCAACAATCTATAAAGGACTACATTTGAAACAGACTTACAAATTAATTTCAATTATCTTCATTCAATCCAAATGTCAATGAGGCAATTCTAAATGTCAGATATGATATACAAGTATATACTTGTAACTTTAAACCTATATTACTTTTTATAATTGATATATTTTCTATGATTTGATGACGATGTATATTTCTAGTTGTGCTAAGACATTCCAATACAAATGGACATTTTATTTATTGTTTTACACAATTTCTTACGTTTCCCTTTATACCAGGTGTTTTACTGATGATACCGTCGTCAAGGTAATGTCATCTGACACACGGTATGAATTTGGATTCATGGCCTTCCAGTTCACTGGAGACATCAAACAGATCTACCTCCATTGTAAGGCCGCTGTGTGCAAAGCTAATGACAAAACAGGAGCATGTGACCAGCCGAGTAAGGTATGTAGATATATTGAATTGTACCATATGCTAATCCATATAAAGTAAAATCTGTCGAATCCAAAAAATTACTGGGGCCGGCCAAACGTGTCTGGGTCAGTATAGATGCCCAGAAAAGATTTCAATTTTTTAACATGAACGGCCATGGCAGGTAAGAAAAGGTTCACATTGATATGTGTTCAGATTAGAGAGTTGTTAATAAAATACAGGTTCTATTGTATGTACTATTGCAAAGAAAACTGTGAAACCCAAAGAACAAACTTTACTTGTAGAAGTGTGAAGGCAAAAAGTTGAAGAGAAGTCTATCAAATACGACAACTGCTGAAATCTTTGGAAAAAGTCACCTGGTCCATAAAAGAAGCGTCTACGAGGCAGCAGCAACCCAGGGCGTGATAGCACAGGACAGAATGGCTCGGAGCATCCCTATAACTAGTGACGCAATCATGTTGGAACAGCCTGAAAGCTCTTTCTCGATTAAAGAGGCTTTTGGTAAGAGCTTAAAATACATGTTTTTACGATTTTGTGAGCGAAATTATTATTTTTTAGTTCTAACACTATATGAAAGTTAACAAAGAAGTAAACCTAATAGAGGAATTTCTATACAGCTTTCAGATCTCGCAAATTCTCGTTTTACGTAAGGTTGTAAGAAATTTGTTCATTAAACCTTTAATTTCTTACTTTTCCTTCGTTATAATAGCATATTTGAATTCAGTGACGTTTTCCATAATAATAACCTTGATTATGTTATTGAAATTATTTTCCTTGACTTTTACAACTTTTCTAAAGAAAAACTTGGGCGAGATCTTCAGGCATACAATGCTAAATTGCTATAAAACCGTGGTTTATTCGTTTGACAACCAAAATTTTCATTATCAATCGCAATACGTTTATTAACGGGGTCATCCCGTAGTGTGCCATTCGAGTTTCAGACAGATTCAACAAACACGTTTTGATAAATCATGAAATCAAGTGACTATTGCATGTTCATAACATGAAGGTCAATGGCAGTCAGGTCCAAGCAGAATAAAGAAATGCAAGAGTGACATCTATTATATCAGCTCTGTAGAAATCTCTTATTCAACATTAATAAACCTATCAGCATTTAAACGTTATTTATTTTTGTACTACTTTATAGGTAAAACCTCATGGCCCATTGCGCTCATGTGTATGGTAGGCCTCGCTTTGAACATCACCCTTGTTGTGGCTCTAGTGGTGCGTAAGATCCGCAAGAGGATACCGGCTCCATAACACGACATACCTGCTCATGACTAACAATGAATGGAGTCTACTAATCCAGAGAGTCTGTGTGAATAGATGGCGTGATGCATTGGCAGTACGATTCTTCTCATATTTCCGGAAGTGAATACCATCCAGAATACCATTGGTATTGCACCATTGGTTTTATTGAAAATAATCTGGACTCAATGCTTTCGTATAAATCACCTTCGTCAACTATTTGATATTCACACATTTTTAGAACAAAAGTTTTGATTTGAGATTGTCAAATCCATCAGTCTATATCTTAATAAATGCTGTGTAATCTTTATTGTACAAGACCCAAGAAATATATACAGGTATTGCACGAAACAGAATTCAATATTTGTTTTATTATTTCACTCATATTACGTGTACATCAAAATCTGAGTAGAAGAAGAAGAAATACATATTACTGTTTAACAATATTCATTTATGAAAGACAACACAATAATATAAGATTTAATATAGATAGATATATTAACTACAAGTTTCCCTTATTACAATATAATAATTAAATATATACATTTGGCTTCAACCCAGTCATTCGTTTGCCGAAAACAACGGCCTTTACCAACTAAAATTATGTGATGTAAAATACACCTTTCTTTCGATTCTTGATGCGTAACTTCAATAGTGAAATTAGTCTAAGTGCTAGATGTCTAATACTCGTTTAACTAAATAGCATGAGAGGTGAGCGGCCAATCATGCGATGACATAGATAGTTAGCTGCTCTGGGCACTGTACTACCTGTACTAATGGCTTTTAGAAGAAATTTTGAATAAAAAAGGGTAGCTGCTCGAGGCACTGTACTACCCCTGCCATAGATAGGTAGCTGTTCTGGGCACTGTACTCCCTGCTCAAATGGCTTTTGGAAGAAGGGTAGCTGCTCTAGGCACTGTACTACCCACGGGGTGACTTTAAAAGGTAGCTGCTCGGGGAACTGTACTACCTGGAAGTTCAAGTATGAATATCACTTACCGGCGAACAGTCAGATAAGGAAACCTTCGATATAACTGAATTCATGTCTTGAAGCACTGATATGAATAAAATATAAGTACATTTGTAAATGAATGTAAATGAAAGATGGCCAAAAGACCAGTTGTTTGCTGTCAAGTAAACGACTGGGACCCCAAATGTAATTGTTTATTGTGACATTCAGTTTATGGTTGTTTTAATTGAATTAATGAAGTGTCAATGGGCAATAATAGTACAATAACGTCATTTCTAAGGGCAATAAAGTGAAATAATGGACCGGGGCCGAAGGCCCAAGGTCCAATATTTCACTATATTGCTAGCAGAAATGACGTTATTAGTATTATTACCACCGTTAACGACCAGGACTGAAACAGCAAGAAAATCTTACGCATTGAACAATATCTAATTTCCCGGGGAAAATTGCCGGTCCAGAATATATTCTAGACCGGTCCATATGGACCACCACTATGAAGTCACACATTTCTCAGGTCGATATAGTAAAATAAACGCCTTCTAAACTAGCACTAAAACCCCTAGAACTGGCCCGGCAAGGTTGTAATAATGACATTTCTACTCTGATAACAGTAACCGGTTTTAATTGCCTGGTACTTGTGCGCTACATTTGACGTCACATTCGTTGAATACCTGTATTTATTCATTTTTAAATACACCTTTCATATCGATAACTTATACATGGATGGAATACCTTGTGGGATTTTTAGTCACGTGGCACATGATTGACCAATCACAAACTGATCATCACTACAGGGAAATATTAATACTTTAGATAAACCTTTTAAAGCCTATATCGCAATTTTTGCTTCAAACATGACAACGTACAGCTAAAGTGTACAACCGTATATTTTGTCATTGTACGTTGTCGATGGTTAGGCGTGTTTTAATATTGAATTGCCCCACACTTTAAAAATGGATAAGATTGCCAATAATTTACTTTTTATTTGTCCATATTAGTCGGAAGTACGTATATTAAGACGCCCCAGAACGCTTCAAATCCATTCTCATTTTTAAATTGTCTCCCCTCACCCCACCCCCCTAAGCTTGTTCGCTTCGCTCACTCGTGGCGTACACTAAAAAATAACCTCGCTACAATGTTTTGAAAACTTCCATTGTCTAACCATTGTCCAGTGTCCTTATTTCCTGTTATATGAATGACGTCTTTGTCTTTATAATCATAGGTTATAATAATCTTTAATCGCATTCAAAAAGCGTATCAAGGACTTGCCTTGTATTCGCAAATGCAACTAACGCCTGTCGGCTACCGGATTAACCTACTATTTTATGACAAACTCATTTAAATATGAATGGAATATTGGCAAGTTCTATTCATAATTAAATGAGTTATCCAAACAATAGTACACGGGGGTAAAGCAGACCCGATGATGCAATGAGCTTGCTCGGCGGTATCATGACTGTGTAACGGGTCTTAATGTATAAGTGTGCTCGGCGGTAGGTTCAACCAACGCGGATCCTCAAAGCATGTGCTCATGGTATATTCGTGTTTTAACACCCGTGATAGTAGGTCAATCCGATAGCCGACAGGCGTTAGTTTACATTTATTCGCGAATATCGAATACAAGCTATTAGTCCTGTTAATAGGGCAAACCTGGGTCAAACGAATGAGGTTATTTGTTCTAAAGTTAAAATACACAACTGGAAAGGTAAGAATATCAACTTTAAGAATCTGGCCACTGTCTGGAGGTTTGCTAGTTACAAACTTGAAATGATAACCCTATCATCCCCAAGGGGTCATTTTGAGTAAATTGAAGATCATTGTCATTTATTCAGACATTAGTAACGTAAATGATACAGCCATACATTGACAGTAATCGAGGTATTTAATGAGTGACCGCAATAGTACGACATAATATATTAGATATCGCCAGTCAACGCAATTCAGTCTGTAGTGAACGCGACAATGGAGCTCAACGGTACATTTAACGTGTCAGTAGATCTTGAGAAAGCATTTAATTTCACGGAATGTTCAAATGTGACAATCGAATGCCACGAGGAACAAGCTAAAGGCATGTTAGGAATTTTTCTGATCCAATCAACGGTAGCAATGGCGATTATAATTGCAAACTTACTCATCATAATTGCGATTTGGAAATCGCCCGAGTTAAATACAGTTTCAGATTACTTTAAAGGACACCTTGCCCTCACTGATATATTGTTCGGGGTATTTGTGCTGATTAGATGTATACTTGATCTTAGCGGACAACAACAGAGCAAATATATGTGTTTGTTTTTGTTGTATTTCGTCTTAACAGCCGGAGGATGTACGATGACTGGAGTTCTGCTACTTTGGACAGAGATGTTCATTGCCGTCAGGTGAATGTTTTAGATTTTTTAATTAGATTTGATTAAATTCAGGTCATATAATTCACAATTTGATCAATCATATTTATTAGTTAGTTTGCTATTATATTTATCTATTTCACTATTGAAAAAGTAATACATACATTTTGTTCTTTAACGATGCACGCACGAGAGTTTGCCCGCTGCTTTAAGACTGCAGCCACTGAACCAGGAAATATGATTGTGTTTCGAAGTATTTCTCTACCCTACTAATGAAGAAAGAAAAAATGAACTCAATATTGGTTTAGAACGTATTTTCAAAGATAGAGCGATTTCTATCAGGTGCATTTTTGAACACTGTCCTTCAAAACATTTAAATGGTGCTTTTCAGGTACACCATGATCACGAACACGGTCTTTAAACATAAATTTGCACGTAAAGTAATCTTGGGAGTCTGGCTTTTCTGGGGACTATATACTCTACTCATCTTCGTCCACCCCAATGATTTGGAAGTGAGGACTTGTAACCTTGCAAACGGGTTGATACGTCGATACTTTGTCATCACGTCGATTGTTTCATTCTACACACATGTTATAATCCTGATAGCTCTCCAGGCAGCCACATTATACTCAATGGTGAAACACGTGAATAAGCTGAAACAGACTGGTGTGGTTACAGCTAGGGCGTCAAACGTCAAAGATATGATTACATCGAGATTTAAAATCGAACCAACGAGTTTATCTGTGATGACAAGGAGAAGTACGACAGTTCGGCAGAATGCTGACGAAGGACCCCTCGGTTCGGCACCTATTAGCACACGACACCAAAGTTCGGCAACTATTTTCACACAGACTAAACCTGGTTGTTCCTCTGAGATCACGCCTGTTGAGGCGTCAACTGATATTATCCTGCTGAAGAATGACGTCCTCTCTAGCAAAAATAAAGCCGATGGGTCAGAAGATATGAGCACATTAAAAGTACCAATCGTAAGCAGACCACAAACGTGTGGCTTCAAATCTGGAATGGCCACCACCAACGACAGAAACAACCAACGCAACATATATCGAAATTGGATCAAACGCATATCCTCCCTCATTAAAATGATAACCGTTATGCTCATTTCGTTCATTGTATGCTATTTACCACTTTTTACAGTCACTGTGGCTCAATTTTTTGATGTCAATACCTCTTCCAGTATCACGATGATAACTGCCATTTTATTTATGACAAACTCCTTAACAAATATCGTTATCTATCCTACCTTAAGTAAAAAATACAGGATAGCGTTAAAACGTCTCTTAACTTGCAAATGTGGACGCGTAACACAAACCCCTTAATCCATTACACCCAGCTAATCCACCAAAAACGGAAGCTCCCCCCCCCTGGCCAGATATTCTTTCAAAATCATGCAGTTTTTCACCATTCTGAGAATTTTTCGCATGATTTTTAGCCAAAATTGTGAAAAAGCTCCCCCTCCTGGTAAAAGCTGGCTACGGGCAAGCAGCTAATCCACTCAAAAATTGATGAACATTTATCGAGTGATTTTATTCCATTTTCATATCTTCCCTCAAAATAGAAGTTTACAATTTCATAAATAGCAACGGCATTAAGTGAAATCGCCAAATACAGGACGGGCCAAAACGCTGGGAATCAAAGAATCAATTATAGAATTATCTGATTATACAGGCAATAGTATAGGGGTTACAGTTATATTTGATTTTAGTTGTACTGTCCCACATGCTGGAGCCTGGTGTACGTTTAAACTGTGCATCGGGGACCTACCTTTTGTTGTTCAGTTATCATATTTTGTAAATAGGGCCGCGGGCTGGTTTAACAACAGGAAAACTTCTGTGTAAAAACTGAATCATGAGAACTTGTTTTTCTAATCAATTTAGCAACTTGCTTATCCTCCGTGCCTCAATTGTTCTAAAGGCAGATCATCTTACCACCTTTTTCTTGATGTTTAATATATAAATAGAACAATGGGAGAAAGGCGTTGTCATTTCCTCAGTAAATGACACCCGACTACTGTATACAATTATGAAACCAGAACAACGGCAACGCCAAAGCGTAGCGAATCCCATCGAACAGCCATGGATGGCATTTTTACAAACAAAGTATATAGCAAAAATGGCAGGCATTTTTCAAAATGGCCGCCTTCTACCAAAAGTGTCATTAGACCATTTTCCATACTTATAGTATTCACATTCCAAATATGAACAAAATCGCTCCACTACTTTTCGAGTTATAGTAAAATACGTTAAAATGGCGGCCATTTTGGCCGCCTATACCAAAAGTGTCATTAGACAGTGTGCCATCCTTATAGTATTCACATACCAAACATGAACAAAATCGCTTCACTACTTTTCGAGTTATAATAAAATAAGTTAAAATGGCGGCCATTTTTCAAAATGGCGGCCATTTTTCAAAATGGCGGCCATTTTTTAAAATGGCCACCTTCTACCAAAAGTGTCTTTAGACAGTGTGCAATGTTTATAGTATTCACATACCAAATATGAACAAAATCGCTCCACTACTTTTCGAGTTACAGCAAAAATCGTAAAATAACGAGTAAAGGCCGCCATTTTTCAAGATGGCTGCCATGTGCTTCTTTAATATCTACATTTCTAGCTTTATTAATGTCCTATATAATGTTTTTACACCTAAAACATATTGCTATTACAGTTTTACATATTGCACCTAAATTACTGTAAATTCGGCACTACAATGGCCGCCATTTTGAAATGAGCGGCCATTTTGAAAATCGGCTTTCGCGCAGAACTTCTACCCCCATAGGGTATATGTGTAAAAAATATGAACAAAATCGGGCCAACGGTATTTGAGTTATTGCCCGGACGGACGGAAGGACGGATGGCCCTATATCACCCCAACTTCGTTCGATGGGATAATTAAAAGAAACAGTGATAAATATGTATAACATTCTGTAACATAATAGAACCAAATATTATTCATTGAGTGTCATTAAGTGTTATTAAGCATTCAGCTTGATTGAAAATACTATGGTGTTGTGTTTCCACACGGCGGGATGGATAGCAAATATGAGTGAAAATAGCAGGACAAAGATATAATCGAGGGAGTGAATCTTTGTTCCGGGTGTTCTTTCAGATACAAAATGTTATTTTACACGAAATATATTTTTTCTCAAATGAACGACAATATCCATATATCATTGTGAATAAATATTACAAACATGTAGTATATAATGTAACACAAATACTAGGCTAGGCAAATGGAAGTTTAACATCCCAAAAATTGCAACAGTTTTTAAATTAGGCTTATATTGTATATTGATACCAGTTGAAAAACATATCAAAAATATAGAAAAATATATGCAGTGGACAAATATGAAATGTCACATTCCAGGTACCCCCCTCCAAATTTGAGTATGGGATTGTAAATATTTTTTTATTTCAAAATGGAATACTCTTGTCAACTAAACGAGTAATATTATGATAGTCTACTGACATAAGAGCAACTAAAAATTGTTAACCAACTATTTGAGTGCGATAATTGGCATTTCTAGCGCCAAATATCTGAAAATAGGCCATCAAATAGCCCGAATTTAATATAACAATGTATTTATTTCTGTATCAATTCATCAGAATTGCATGAAAAATATCAAGGAGGGTATTGTACACCTGAACATTGTCTTTGATAAGTATCAGGGTCATTAAGTGAATATTGAGCGTGAAAATAATATTTGAAATTTCAATATTTTACCACACCCACTTTTGGGGTGACCTTACTTTTGTTTAATTTCTTCCAAGATATGTCATATTTGAACTCAATAGCACAACTAAATTATTTGTAAAGGCTTATTTTGTCCTGAAAACAGTTTTTGAGGTTTTCAGGAAAGGATTATGTAAAAAAAAAAAGTAGAAAAACAGCAAATGCCAGGTGAAATATAGGGGAAGCCCTACTTTTAGTTGATAACTGTTAAATTATCAAATGTTTTTTCCTTTTAAATTCAATTTGATATATAATATACCTTTTCTGGTAAAACAGAGAACGATTTGTTACAATCAGTGGTCAAAAAATGTCCTTGAAAAGGCAACAAAATGTTAAATATCCCTGTCCCTGACATCAGTTTATTAATATGAGCCAAAAAAGGTAACCCAACCAAATGTTTGTTAATAACCCAGTCATTCAGCATGGGTTTGACATCATATTTGGCACAATTACCTTGTTCAATGTTCTTTCATTCTACTAAGTGTCATTGATCTATCCTTAATAGTCATGATTTTATGGCCATTTACAAAATGTGCTCAAAATATCGAAATGTGCCTAACTGACTGGACATCAATACCACCAGTTTTTTTTTTATCTGTGGACCTTTTTTCGATACTAACAACACTTGAAACATTAAAACAAGAGATAAGAATGAAGATGAGAGTCATAACACATGATTTTTATGCTGATTTGAACAACAACGCACGATACGTTCAAGTTGGCCTCCAAGCATGACACCCATATTTCATGGCATGGTATAAAATGGCCATAAAATCGTGACCACTAGAGACCACTGAGACTGGGTAGATTGATAATACATTGACCAAGACTCAATTCTGCCAAATATGACACTAAATCCATGCAGGATGATTGGACTGGATTATTAAGATTTGTTTGGGTTACCTTTTTGGCTCGCCCTGTATTAAGGAAAAATTGTTACTTTTGACTAAGGTGTTCTTAACCACACAGTGATATTGAGAAATGAAATGAAGAAGTTCAACTGAAGAATGTTCGATTTCAAGATGAAATTCAATAAAAAATGATTATGTTCGATTATGTTATGTTCATTATCAAAAATGCTGCCTTAATTTTGTAATCTTAACCTTCATATATGTGTCTTACTTATAAAGAGCAAAAAAGAATGCTGATTAAATAAGCTTAATACTATTATGTTGTAACAACAATCAGTTACAACCTTGTCTATCACCAGCTTTCATCAGGGGCGGATATGGGAACCAACGAGGGGGGGGGGGGGCAAATGTCAGGCCTGAGAAAAAACTTCCGCGGAAAAAATTTGGGGCCCCTAAAACCCTGAAGTGGGCAAATTTTGAAATATTGAGACCCATTTTCTTCAATTAAAAATAAGGCTTTAAAAGGCCCATTTATGACCAAAAGGCCCACTTTTCGGGGCCTTAAGGCCTTTTTGGGCCCAATTTTTTTTCTGGGCCCGCCCAAGGGGGTGGGAGGGGCCCAGATCTGCCAGTGTTCATATTTAGTCATCATTATTCTCATGATCAGTAATGGAGGTATTTGCACAAATGCCTTTGCATACCTTACATGTCAAAGAACAGTTATTTCATTTTTCTACAAGAACATCTCATAGAAATACAATCTGCCTTACACACACAATGGATGATCTCTGAGAAAGGGGAGCTGCATTTAGGCAATTGGTACATAGTTTTGTTGCTTAATTCCCAGCCCAATTATAATGGAGGCAGTTTATTTCCCTCCCACTCCTGGATCTGATGGTACACTCTGTAACTGTGGTATTCCGCAGCATCAGAAAATGGAGGAAGAACACGGGGCTGCAATAATTCAGATCTTGCTGCTCTCTTTTAATAGAATTTTAGAAGCCTAAGATAATTTAGGGTTTCACCATTTTTCCACCATAAATTGACAAAAGAGCATGTTCCTCTGCAATGACAGAGTTGCTTGCATTTCACTGGTTTTCTACTTGTTTACGTTGTAACAAAATGTCTGAACATCGAACGTTTTTTTTTCTTTATTTCACACATTGTAGGCAGAATTCCCACAACATTGTTATCACAAACATGTATCAGTATTATATGTTTAAAAGATGTACATATTTGCGAACAAATAGTTCAGAAGACAACAGAATCTTCGATTTAATTCCTGAGAAAAAAAACATCGTGGGGATTCTGCCTACAATGCGTGAAAAAAAGGAAAAAAGAAATATCGTACTTTCGACGTTTAGACATTTTGTTACCGAAACGACAAGCGTAATCGAGCGGATCATCAGTGCTTTTGGTAATCTAAAAACAACCGCTTGTTTTCTCAAGAACTCACTCTTTTTTATCTGCCTCAATGATAGCCTCTTGTCTATGCCATATATAACCTGAATGCGATGTCACACCCCAGAAAAGAAACAAAATATTGTCACAGACCACTTTTCCCAAAGACAATCTTATTTCATTTATATTCCAACATTTTGTTTCTTGGGTTGCTGCTTTTGGTTCAGGTTTGAAGAAAATGTTGAAGTTTGTGTTTTGTGCATGATAAATGAGAAGCACAAGGAGATCTGTATGAGTACTGTATTTGAGGTTTGGACACTTTGGATTGCAGTTTTCACAATCACAATATCTGCATCCGATTCTGAATGCAGCACATGTACACTCAATGTTTTCCAACCTGACAGACAGAATTACCATCATTCCTATGCACTGAAATTATATTAATGAAAGACTCCCCAGATTATATATCTGAGATTTTAATGTTCTCTGTCAGTTTAAATTCTGTTTAATAGCCATAAATTCGTTTCTACAGCATTATACATCCAATTGATAGTTCCATAGTAATGTACTCTTATGTAATGATTTATTTATCTGATGAATTTAAATATATGCAAATTTTGTAATTGCGGATTGTAATTAATAATTTAAACAATATTAAATTCCACAAAAACTACAACTTACATTATTTAGATAAGCCTAGTATATAGCAGTTATCAAATACCCTAATATCAGAGTGGTGATATGTAATTATTCATCAAATAAAAGTGAGGTCACCTTAACATTTCACCTGGTGCAACTAATAATTCCTATTTTTCATACTAATAAGGTATAAACCTTCACAAAACTTGTATTTTAGATGATGACAAGCCTATATAAATGATTTAGATGTAAACTCTAATACAAATGTGATGCATTGTGGGAGTTAATCATCAAAACTATTGTCTCCCCTATAGTGGGCGGGGCAAAACTATGAAAATGAAATAATTTTTTTCTTCCTAAGTATACTTTTTAGAATGCTGACATTCACCAAATATGAAGTTCATATGAATATGTAACACCATGATTTTTTTCATGCTTTTCTGACAAACTGATCCTTAAATATCTAAATAGAAATGTGATAACATGCCTGTTTTGTGGCCTATTTTGTTATACTTTGGGGTCAAATGACCAATTACTGGTCTCAAAATTGATTAAAATAATATTTTAATTATTTGTGAATATGTGATCTATCATAATAAAGCTTGAATACTTGACTAAAGTATTCCATTTGGGAAGAATTAATTGTTTCCTACCAATACTCAATTTTGGGGTAGGGTTGTAGGGGGTACCTAGGAAGTGAAATTTCATATTTGTCCACTGCATACATTTTTCTATATTTTTGATATGTTTTTCAACTGATAGTAATACATAATATAAGACTAATTTAAAAACTGTTGCAATTTTTGGGATGTTTTGGCCTTTTATGAGCCCATTTGCTTGGCCTATACGAACAGAAAATAAATACAATTGATGTGAATTGAATAAATACATTTCATTTAGTTTCTATGTAAACGCATTTCGTGGAGACTATAGATGGACGGCTGAGATGATAAAAGGAATCCGACTGTTCCTACAAACATTATGCGATGGCTCGTTTTGTGAACGCACATAGTATATTTGTAATTTCAACCTAATTCAGTCTTCCTTATTGATCACAGCACCCCACCCCCAAGCCTTAGTTTTTTTCTAAACTAGCACTAAAACCCCTAGAACTGGCCCGGCAAGGTGGTAATAATAGTTACTATCATTTTAGCCATAACCAATATCTGTTTCTGGTGGTTTGTATTATTCTGATATATCGTCTGGCGCCTGTCAACCTATTCGAGACCGCTAAAATTCATTCATCTCATTTCCTTTTGCAGAGTTGATTGAAAAAATATATGCATTATTGAAACCGTATCGCCAAATAAAAAATAGACATTTTGGCCCACTTTGTAGGCCTCTATCGAAAAATGTTGGGACTTCAAGAAGGTTAAAAGTACACACTAGGAAACTTCCATCTTCCGATCACAGGGCTTCAAAATCCAGAATATATTCTTTCTTTTACCCCCTGCGATAAGCAGTTACCATTTCCCTGATTAAGAACTTGCAATCTGATTGGCTCTCGCATTATTGAGACAGAAACCATGCATAAATCATTGCGCATAATTAGATCACGTGATTCAGTTAAATCGGGCGAGTTGTATTTAGATCACCATATAAATCAATGGAGAGTAGGACCTCCTACCCCTTTACACCGGCGAGGATTCGTACGTCCATGCTCAACACATTCTATTCAAATCTTTTCAGCAAACTTGCCCTCCTGATCCCCACTGAAACCACATTCCGTCATTATGTCGATGACGATCCTAAACTACGTCGAATCAGTTCGAACAAAGTTTAAACCGTTGACAACACGTTTAAACAACGTAGAAAAACGTGTTTGGTTAGACTTAGGTGTGATAATAAAGCGGTCAAGCTACACGTTTTACAACACGTCGTATGTGAACGTTTCTTGGGAGGTTACGTGTTTTAAAGGGAACTTGTAAGTCAACGTGTAATTTAATGACTCCTTTTTCCAGTGACTAAATTACAACTATTTCCCTTCATACTTAATCTGGCAAGCAGAAACTACAAATGGGGACAACTAATCCACTGAGGACCATAATTCTTCATGTTCACGTACAATTGTTTAAAAACGTGTAACTTAACCTCCACGTTACACTGCCAATCTCAAACAGCGCTGTTAATAAACCAGTGCTGCAAAAACAGAAATCACCAGCGGATCTAGACGGGGGCGTGCCCCCCCCCCTAAAAAGTGGGAAAATTCGTGTTTTGCCTCATTGCTTTTTACAAAATTTGAATCTTTTTTTAATTCGCTCACAGTTATTATCACACGCCCCCCCCCCCTAACACAAAATCCTGGATCCGCCACTGGAAATGTACATCGTTGTTTTCTAAAACAGTGCTGTATACTGCTATAAAAACAGTACTGTACTGAACTACGCTGTTCAAAACAGGTGATGTAAAAATAGCACTGTACATGAACTGTACAGCGCAGTGCTCGAACTGCAATATTCAGTACTGTTTACAGCGCTGCAAGTTGATGTTGCGGATTTGGGGGTGTTTTTCCAGGGGCCTAATTACCAGGTCAAATGACAACTATTTTCATATTCCCTTTAAACTGAGTCGTCCAAATAATACTATGAATGTGAGAGCGCAAAAGTTCTCTTAAAACGTGTAGCTAACCTAACATAATGTTCGAGATTCGTCATTCTTGATTGATGATGGCACGAAAGACAAATTACACAAGAAATATTCATTGTTTTCTAGTGAAATTCTGTACATTTATTCCTTTCTATATACAAATAATGTACATTATATACAAACACTTTTTAAAAGGGATTTGATTGTTTATTTTAAAATGAGGCGTAAGCGTTCATTTCATACATTTAATTTCTTAAAATGTAAAATGATTTTTAATTGATACATTTTATACACCATAGAGTGTTAACATCTTTTCTCTCATTCCACTGTTTTATATTTTATTACCATGGCAATTCTGAATTTATACACCGAATACTTCATCTTCTGTCATGTCTTTTGCCCATTTTATGCGATGAGAAGCGCGGCTAAGAGCCCAAAATTGGCGAGTCAAAAATCCATGAGCAAAATGGACTTAGCCACATAAGCCACACAAGGATGTCAGTGTCATCATTGACATATCTAAGATTTTTAACATTGTTTCTAAGGATTTTTTGCCCCACCTATTTCAGGTAACTTCAAAACCCACGATTCGCTGCAGATTAAAGTTGGTTTGATAGAAAGCTACACACAGATTTAAACTACTGTGTGTCATCAAATAGAAGAAAATAGGTTTCATTGGCAAAAAATGCAGATCATCAAAAATCTCATTAAAACGAGACTTCAACGAGATTTCAAAGCTATACAACAAAGCCTCTGTTGAGTATAAATCTGAATAGATTGTCTCCAGGGGAGCCATATTGGATTTACAGTTCTGCAATTTATCTTGAATAATTTTACCATTTGAAGATTTTGTGCATTTTTATAGAGATATTACATTTGATTTGATGAAGATCTTACTTATTTCATTCAATAATTCGTCTGCTCATGTTTATTTCACTTAATTGCTCTCAAAAATTTGTATTAATTTAAAGATGTTGAATGGTGTTCTTTTGTTTCTTTCCCATTCATCTCTATTCTGTTTCACATTTAAAACATTTTTCCAATTTCTTAATCGCTATCATCATCAACTGTTGCTTTCTTCCTTTTCTTGGGTCGAGGTTTGCCAATTTCTTCATCCTGGAAAAATTGTACAAAAAATCAAATTTATTCAATCTTAAACCCTGATCATGATAAACTTCAAAATTTAAATTCATTTATAAGAAACTATGATGCTTATTCTCTAAATAATACTAACTATTGAAAAAAATCCTCAACTAGAAAATGTAATATCCACGTCCTATTTGGACTTGTCACTAGCCAGACCATTTTTTAACCTTTGACACTTACAGAAAAGGTTTGTATTTAAGTCCATTGGAGGTGCTGATATAATTTTTTAATTTAGAGGTAACAAATCCATATTGTGGGTGGTCCAATTTGTTTAATTTTCAATGTTCTATTAACTGAATGGCACAAATATTTACATTTAAACATATCCACACTTCAGTTTCTCTTAAAGTTTATGGAATCAGGTTTCTGAGCTAGGGTTCTCATCAGAATATTTGTTGATAAAAATAAAAATGATGATAAAATACCACAAGCTTAAAATCAAAAGCATACCTCTGAACTTTCAGATTCTGTTTCTGATTCAAGGATCTTTTTACTTCGACCCTTAGGACTGAGATTCCCATGAGCCTTTGCTGCTTCTGATGCACGCCGACTAGGAACTTGGCGCAAAACTCGCGTTGATCGAACCTCTTCAAAGTCTTCTGCCAGTGCAAAAAGGTCACCAAATCTGCAAATATTCCCCAGTTATAAACTATATATTTTAATAAACAGGGTGGCACAATAAAAAAAGTACACCTTCATGTTCAAGCACACTACATGATTAATCAACATCATAAATTATATTTTCAGCGTATATACAGGGGAGGCCAAAATATTTTTATCTCTTTTTTGGCCCACCCTGTGGAATTACTCAAAGTTGATATTTGAAACATTTTAATATCATGAAGAATCACAAAGGTTGATATTTGAACATTATTATCCACCAAAAATCACAATTGGTAATATTTCTATTTTGAACAAAGCCCCATAAACAATATACACTAGTGCCTTACCTTGCTTTCTGGGCATCACTACATGCTGTTAATGCTTGAAATAATGCCTGTTGCATAGACTCATGGTTTAAAACTGAAACACAAAAACATTTTAATAAAAAATTTATTTAAAGAAAGGCTCCTGATTTTTTGTGTTTAATCCAAATTTTGTGGTGCAAATGACTTGATGGATATTTCATAATGATTGAACTTATATATATATTCAAAAAGACATGCTGACACACTGAATACTATATTTTAGAAAACCTAGGCAATTATATTGTATTCGAAATGTAATATTTACAGGGCGTTCATAAAGTTCTTGCAAAAGTACTCTAATTTCTTTGTTTCTCAATCAATCTGGCTGAATGTTTCACTATGTAAATGGAATAAACAAAAATTTAAAAAATGCAATAGAGATTTACTCACATGATATATTTTGGCAAACTTGTCTCATGTGTTCTAGGTGATTAAGGATTTGTTCGGTGCTTGGGCCATCTTTTTTACTGCTTTGTCTAAAATTGAAAACAACTAAATTAAGATCAATTATAATTTATAATATACATGTACTTTAATTATGAAAACTACAACTATCTACAACTATTTTTGATGTTATTAGTATTGGCTATCAATTCAAATTTATTCTTCAACATGTATTGCAATGACTTCAGTATGAATGAAATGTCTCTTGGTGTTGTGGTCTCAGATTGTGATAAAGTACTTGAATGGTGGGGGAGGGGGTAGTAGACATTGTTTCTTTTCACATTAGATCATGGTTTGTGATAGATGAGGTTTGTTTTGACTGGTGTACTGTTTTCTTGCCATGTTCTGTTATAATTTTTAGTTTGTGTATCAATTTTTAGTTTGTGTATAAATAAAAGTGGTCCTTAACTTTTTTGAGTAGTATATTCAATGTTGACCGAGTATAAATACATTTCTTCCAACCTCATCTATTTACTTGAGACAAGATTACGGAAATCTCTTTTTGGTAAATTTGATCTAGATAAAAATATAAATGTAAAATATGATTACTGTACATTTAGAACTTACTTTAACCCTTAAATGATCAACCGCGCATCTGAGATGTGACCTTGAACGTTACACTGAACAAACAAAAATTTAGTTCATTCGAAGAAAAGATCGTTTTTCATCAATTATTACAACAATTTTGCACTCAAAGACAGATTTTGAGTTTTCAAAGAAAATCTGAAACTTTTTATTAGTTTTGATCATTTAAGGGTTAGGAAAGTAAAAAATACATTCAGACATTAAGAACTTACTTATGTCGTTTCCTATTAGGTGTTGAATTTGTACATTTGGATATAAGGTTGAGTATTTGATCGGCAAGTCTATCACCATTTTCTTGTGCCCAGTACTTGAGAACAGAAATAGTAAATCTGTCACCCTTTTTGCAAGCTCGACAAAAAAGAGGCCGTAGCAGCTCTAACGTTGGCCTAAAATCAAACATGAAGAGTACATGAGGATGAATTACTTTTATGAAATGGATTTATAAATGTACCTACAAGATCTGCAATTATTTGGTGCTTTTCTGGTGCTAAACGCTTACTGTAGATTGGGTTTATTTGGCGCCCGCTTTAATTTGTCGAATTTGGCGAAATTGAAAATTTCGTCAATATAAATCTTCGCCAAAATTTAGAATGAATCCCCGGGAGTTATCTAGGGTATTTCGTCCAGTGAATTTAGGTCACTTCCGGTTTAGTTTTTTTCCAAAAACATGAAAAAATGTCTCTAATAAATTGGCTCAGAACTGGTGAGTCAATCATTAATACTCAGGGAAAAACTAGAAAGGAAAAGCGCGGTATAGTAGCAGCATCGATCGAGGTGCAAAATGTAAAGGATGATCTCACAAAAATGTACAAACGTGGTGAATACTGAATATCGCCAGTGGTCCTCAAAAGAAAAAATGAACATAGCCAAACATGCCCATTTACATGGTAATTTGCAAACAGCGCGTAAGTTTAACATTGCATTTTTTTAATTTAAATTTTTTTTTGCACATCCGCCAAATTAAATAGCCGCCAATATGCCAAAAAATTAAAACATTTTTTAAATAATGCATCTTAAGCTGGAACCAGTGGAATTTCACTATCTCATCTCTGTTATTGAAAATTCAAACTTACGCTTCTTCTTTCATTTGCACCATGAGACTGGTTAATGCTTCAGCATGGCCTGAGAACTCCAATTTTGGCAATATGGGTATGATGTGTTCTATTTGCATATTATGGGCAAAGATAAGCTGCCACAGGAAATACTGCTCGATGGATTCCCACTCCAGACTTGCATCTAAATAAAGGAAATGAAATTGATGAGATAAAATTGTGTAAATAATAGATGATCGTAACACCATCCTACTCTGTAACAGAAGTCAACACTTCAACAGTGCATTCAAGTCACAGTAAGCGTATATTTTTGACTTTATAATGAGCCAATGAAAATTTATCAATGAGACAGAGATATGTACAGTATAACAAAAATAACTTACTGAGGACTGAAAGAATTGAATCTTTCTTGATGATGACCAGATGTCCCATAAGAATCTCACAGACTAGATCCTGGAGCTGCCTGCCATCTATTGCAGAAGTGATGAGATGCAACAGCCGTATGTTTCCTACAGCTATATTACTGAACTGAAAATACATTACCAGATTTCAAGAAAAACAGTCCCACTTCACTAGAGCTCAGGGTTTGTGAGTAGGGTGCATATTTCCTATTTTTATATTTTAGATTAACGCTTCTGTGGAATATTTGCATATGATTGTACTCAATTTCAAGTGGATGCAAAATAGAGAAGGGTCGGTCACGGTTCGGTTCGGTACTGTGTAGCCAAAAACCGTGGTTAATCGAACCGAACCGTGACTGACCTTTCTCTAATGCAAAACAACTCATACCTGGGTGTATATATCTGGCAGTATATATGTGAACATGGCAACATCATCTTCCTGACAAAGCTGCAAAAAATCAAAACATGCTCATTTTTTATCATTTGGTTCTTTTCATGGAGACATCCTGTTAGAGTATATATGAGATGTTAAACATGTTCAGGGTGACACACAACATACAACTCTCCATATTTTCAATAACATTATTATTTATGGCTGAATCTTCGTGAATTTTCATTGCGTTAAGTTGGTGAAAAAGTTGATAAATGCCAATTTTGAGTTGTTTCTTAATTGATTATAATTATAGTATCATACTATTACTAGAATCCCAGTATTCGGATTGGTTTAAGACCATGCAAAAATCGTTAAAAAGTATTTCCCTATATATAGAAATATTGAGTTCTTATTCACTTACTGTTAGATCTGAAAGGAGTGACGTTTCTAAATCTCGGTCTAAACCTTTACAAAAATCTTTGTACGATGACATTTTTTCATCTACCATTTTGCTGGAAAAGATAAAAATGAAGATCAAAAATAGAGCACATTTTTGCAATGGCCTCCTTCAAGATTGTATTGTATTGTATTGTATTGTATTGTAAAAAGTTCTTGACATGCAAAATGTCACCATCTGCCATTTGTTAGTTGCCAACCGCCGAATACCAACCCTGAACACTGTCAACAAAATAATTTGAAGGTATAATATATATGTCACCACTTCTGGTGACATAAAAAATAATTTAAAATTAAATCCCATTTCTAAAATTTACATACTAAATTGAATTTTTGATAACATGCTACATATTGGCCTTTTAAGGAAATCAAATCATCTCACCTGACTTTAAGGAAATATAGAAGGAGATACCCTATCCGAGGTTGTTTATTAGCCATCTCCCCAAGGAGTATAAGGAGGGGATCTCTAGCAGGAGTGTCTTCAGGGGTTTGGCATAAATTCCTGAAATCAGATTTATAATATCCATAAAACCTGAGAACACAATCTGACAAAAAGATGGGTGAAAACCCAGAATTCATATAGGTGAACTTATACTTTACTATCTTTATGTAAAAGTGAATCTAACCTCCTTAACAATCTATCCACCTTACTGTACTGATAAAAATATATGTGGCATGTCATGGCAAGATGAGCCAATCATATTGTAATAAAACTTCACTTGTGTGTTGAGTGAAAACAAAAAAGTTTTTTTCTTCAAACCAAATTTGACAATGTAAACATCGGAAAAATATATAAACTGCACATATAAGGGTATTTTGAAAGAGGTAGACACAGGCAGGTGGAGGAACTTACCTAAATAAAACAAAGAGAGGCGTCCCCACTGAATCTTCAATTGAGCTGGAAGTAACAAGATGTCTAGTGGAGAAAATAGTATTAAACAAGGTACAATACTACAGCTTACCATATAATATACAATATATCGAATAGATAAGATAATTGTCTCAATGCAATATAGTAAGTTTAAAATGTCAGCTTCACCATTTCTAATTTTAAGTGTCAGTTTCACTATTTCTGATTTAAAGTGTCAGCTTCACAATGTCTCATTTAAAGTGTCAGCTTCACCATTTCTTATTTAAAGTGTCAGCTTCACTATTTTTAATTTAAATTGTCAGTTTCATTTCTTCTGATCATTCTATATTTGAACGCAATATGTCAAAAGTGTCGACTCGTGCAGTTTCAACATGTTTTCTCTCTAAAATTTCAATGAACTGGTATACAATTTAGAGTATTAACTACATGTGTGTATAGTATATTGCATGATGATGTCATCATTTTGTGATTTACTTTGCATTTTTCAAAACAATTTTTCAAACTTACTCATCGTCCACATGTTTTGGAAAGACGTTGTTGTTAAACGTTCCAGAGAGAAGTTGGCAAAGACAAGTTCCTAATGTTGATGATGTGTCTTGCGATTCAAAATCATCCTGTAGAAAAAAGAATCAATATTTAAACAATTAATATCTGAAAATTATACACACCAGTTATACACCCCCTGGTGTGTCAAAGCCCGTATACTGTTGTAAATTTGTTATGAAAACTGAAATAAATTATTTTGAAATTGAAATTGAAAAAATTAATGACACATTCAGTGAATGATTCACCATAATTTGTGTCAGAAATACAGCTGTCATAGTTGTTTATAGTTTTTCTTGCATTTCTATACAATTTAGTGTGTCTTTTTCTATATTTCTTAAGCCTCAGTCCAATTTGCTCTATGGCGGCATGCAGTGGCCATAGCTTCAAAAAAATCGATATAGAAAATCTACATCATACTGTTTATCCCTATATTTTATGCTACATATTATCTCAATTTTGGGAAGCTTAACAGCCGCCGTACAGTTGCCGTAGATCAAATGTGACTGAGGCATTATTGATTCTTCTCTGCTTCTCTATTTAATATTTTAAAACAGAACTGCCATTATATACAATAATAAAGCGATACAAAATTTCATCAATTTTATTTCATCCAGTGTAAAAACGTGACTTTGAATTCCCGGGAACATTTTTTCAAGGGACACAGTTTTTTGAGGGGAACACATTTTTTGAAAATCAGTACGTCCCAGGGACGCAATCTTGGACAAACCTACTGAAAACATTGAATAGTCTCCCTAAAAGATGCACAATGCATTCTAGAATTACAGGGAAAATAGTGATATATTGAGAAAACACCAACTTACATCTTGTATGACTGTTTGTACAATGTTGTCCATTATTTCACACTGATTATCATTGTCCCTGCAAATCATAATAAATAAACATTATTATTTATTTAATCCTTTAATCCTATTGTATACTGTATGTTCAAAGAAGTTTTAGATAAAAACCATGTTTGAATATTAAACGAAATTTTTCAATGCATTAGTATCAAAATATGTTTAATTCAACATTTTATATAAACAAATTTTAAATATTACTTCACAAAATGAACCCTAAAAAACAAAGATTGGTTCTGAAGTAACCTCTTAACAGTAAAGACAATTTTTATGGTTCGCTGCCCCGTCCTACCACTGCCATTGCTCTCGCAGCCAAGGTCAAATATGGATTTTAAGTTTAATGTTGATCGATACTGGGTAAACAATGACCTGAATGGAAATGATAATATAAAGAAAATTGTCCATCAATGACAAGCTTCGGTTGGCTCAGTGAAATCAAATGTTTCTCTTATACTTAAAAAAAGAGTAGATGAAGCTTACTTTTAAGAAGCTATTTGTCAAATGAATGTGAAGTTGTCTACTTCACAATGTTCACAATTCACTATACTTACATTTCATTTTGGAACTGCACAACCAATGGTTTGAGATCACCCTCTAAAAGGTCAACTAGCTCACTAATATCAATATTCTGACATCGTGGCGGAGGTAATTTGATCGGCCGAAATTTGTTTTCTTTTAATTTTCCTTGAAAAGAAAAAAATCAATGAACATCTGGTTCTTGCAAACAAACACCAGGGAAATCATTGCAAATTATAGAATTCTTTCATCATATACCAAGTAATTTTGTTAAATTACTGAAAATTATTACTTTCTGAAAATAACAAAAGAATTTTATGAAATAACAAGATAAAATACAAGATAACCTAGGAAGACTTTCTGAAATAACAAGAAAGACTCTGCCAAATAATTCACAAGAAAGACTTCTACAAAAAAAATCATAACAAACAATTCAAATGTACCTATTGGGATATCCTCATCCTCAGAGAACTCGGCCTCTGAGGTGTTGTTCGGGGTGCCAGTGGGAAACTCTGATATATGATTGGAAGGTGTAATAGAAGGAGACTCTGTTTCCATGGGGATAGACTCTGGCTTCGGAGTTGGAGATGACAGGTCTCTCGAAGTAATTATTTCTTGAATCTCTTCTTTGGGACTTGACACTTAAATAAAAAAATATTCAAAAATTATTCTTGCACTTTTAACAAATTAATTAAAATATGATTCCTGTGTAAATTCATCACTCTGGTAATATATTAATAATAACTTAAGTTCATTTACTTCAGAGTAAAATGTTTTATTTAAAATATGATCGTTTTAAAAATAATGTTCAGTGTAACTAGAATAATGTTTTTAATGAAATAAAATATTATAACAATATACAGTTCTTTTTTAATAAAATAGTTTCAATGAGGCCTATCATATATACTGTAGTATAGAGGCTTCTAAGCCAACTAACCTCACAAAAATACAGTGTAAACAATTAAAAAATTAATATTCACCATCATGTGAGCAGAATGGTGCAAAGTTTTCCCGCACCATAAGGCGTAATTCTTTGTCTAGTTTGGCATTGTCAAATAATGGCGATAATGACCTGCAAACATATAGGAGCACATAATTCTGATATCTTAAATTAGTCTGTATTGGTTACACTCACTCACGGTGGTCTTAAATTCTAAAGAATAAAGAAATATCTTTTGTCAGGTACAAATTCAACACTTCTCTCATTTATAAAACATTGTATGGATGCGATTAAAACGTTAATATAGCTATGTACAGATGTATGATATAAACTCCAGTAAAATCTGTCTAATCTCAACAGGTGTTCTGATATACAGATTTCACTAAATGTTAAATTTGAATTTATTCATGATGAATTATCTTCTGTACTTACTGTAAAACCTTTTTATTAATAATAGTTTTTAGTGAAGTGTAGATCCCGGCTCTGACTTTGTCAGTTAGCACTGGATAGAAGTTAGTCATGATCTGAAATAAAGATAATATAACATACCAAGTTGATCAATAAGTTCCGAGAAAAGCATCTTGCACTGTATTACAAAAGGGAATGTAAAATAATCACTTTGATTCCCTTAATGTCCACTTATTGGAAAAAATACATAGTAACCATGGCAACAGGACTTTTGCTAGTGATCCCGTGGTTTGCACTTATTATACAATCAATAAGCTAGAAAATGAGACACTGATCCTCACTTTAGTAAAGTGGTGTTAGTTAGACAAGGCACAATTCTATTACTTTAACCTTAAACATGAAGTCTATTTGAGAAAATGGTGTTAAACAAGGTGCGATACTATTACTTACCCTACACAAGAAGTCTAGAAGGGTGGCAGTGATGGCAGGATGGGGTCTCATAGAGTGATACATAACTAAGATACCAGGCTCTGTAACAGATAAAGCTCAACATTTTAACAAGGACTACATTATGCAGTTTTAATATCAATTTCAATATCATACTAAAATCATTTGAAGCACAATTAATAAAAGAACAATGTTTTCTCAAAATATGAGAGCAAAGAAGATATTGTTAAAATGATTTGTTTAAATTAATTTATTTAATTGGAGATTTCCCAGTCAGGTCAGTAAATCAACAGTGCATCTATAATGGAAAAATCAAAGTAGAAGATATTGAAATTATGATTTTCTTGAATTTTCAATGTTACTTTTTCCTCTATTTATTTTGCAGTAAAAAAATCATAACCATCATGATGATACACTTACCTATATTCATAATGCTATCTTTGCCCTCTTCAAAGAAAAGCCAGTCATAGAACAAAGATAATTTGGCATTTGATGCAGCGACATTGGACTGAAAACAAAAAGCTTTTGTTTAAGATACATGTATTTAACCAAATTTTTGAACATCTTAATCTCTTGTCTCTAAAATCGGTTCGACTCATTGAGACCATTTTTATTTTTGCCACTTTTTCCATTTAACATCCCTTCCTCTCTACATCTGAGAACTTAATTTTAAGAATTTTCAAAATAAAAAAAATTCAGAGACGGAATATCAATCCTCACTCCGTTCGTTGAGTAGACTTACTGTACATGTGGTGAGAAGCCAACCAATCACAGCCCAGCGTGGTATGACATCGGAACAGAGAAGATCATTGGACGGGTGAATGACGCCACAAATATAGCGTATGAGATCGCATCTCAGCGACTGACTCTCTGGCGTTGAAAGGTACTGAAATCACATGTAAATTAGTTTTAAACATGTCTTATTTGAGCATTAGTTATTCATAGATTGCCCATCACAAACTAATTAGCGTTATTATCAATTCTCCCAACTGGACCTATTAGTATTCAGAATTCGCAGGGCTTTTCTAGGATAAGCAATTTCTAAGCGATTTGTTCTATGCTACTGAGTCTTCTATTTTGCAGATGTATTACTTAAGGATTTTGAGCTCGTTTATTTAAATGTTTCATATCTTATTATTATTACATACAATTGTTACAATTGCACAAATTTTGTGATTTAAACTCAAAATTTCAATCAAGATATTTGACATCATATTTTGCAATCGGTTTTTAGCTACATCTACATAATAATAAATTTTCTGTACTATTTCACAAAATGTTATCAATTTTTCACAAAATGTTATCAATTTTTCACAAAATGTTATCAATTTTTTACCAAATGTTATCAATTTTTTACCAAATGTTATCAATTTTTACCTGTCTTTGAAACCATTCTTGATATCTTTTCTGTTGGCCAAATTTCACTTTTGTAGTTAGAAAAGCTAGTTTATTTTCCATATCTGGGGTCAACCTTGATACAAGATATTTCCTAGATGTACGGACTAACATCAGCTGGTGTATGCCTGAAAATAAGGATTATAGCATAATTTATGTATGTATGTATTTTGTTGCTTGCCACTTGTATTTTCTGTCACCTTTCTTAATCCAATATATGATTCACTATTGTAGAAGTATATAAATTTCATTTAAACACTTAAATAAAAAAAATCAAGAGTTGTGGTAATGGGTAGGGCTAGGCACAAAGGCTTTCGAACCCCTCACTCCCTTCAGTCGTTTGGGGTACAGAAAACGTTTGTGCCTAGCCCTGCAGGGTGTATTCGACAATATTACCCCTGCTCTTCAGTCTATATTTCTTAAATAATAATTATGAGAACAAATATTTTATTAATTATTCAAAAAAATTTCTGATAAAATCCATAAATACCTGTAAAAGTGGGACTCAGTGTTGAAGGATTATATAAAATATCTTGCCATAATTTCTCAAATTCTGGTATCCTAGCAACATACTGAAGCAGACGGACTAAATCTCGACCAATCAGACAACAATCTTGCCACTGAAATAAGAACGTACAAAATTGTTTCATTGGTGCAAGATACACATTTTTACTGATATATGAGTAATTGTAAGGCTAGCAAATATTTACTAAATACCTTGGAGCATACATTTAGTAAATGGTTGGAACACAAGGCATTCGACAAGGAAATCTGGTTATGTTTAATATATTTTTAGAAAACCAAACAAAAATTTCAAGTATCAATACATGTACTTTTAATGAACTCGAAGGACAATAGAAATTTTAAAATTTTGATCCTATATTATATTATATTGAAAGGAATTCCCAGATTACAAACTCAATACATTTGCTTGGCCCTTCAACAGGATGTTAAACTTATTTAAATGCCCATGGTCCTATAACTAGAAATCCTGGTGCTTTTGAAATAAAATCATATAAAAAATACCAACCTTTTCTGTCAATGCTGCTATACAGAAGTCTACTTCCCGTTGTCGTAAAATGTGAAATGTCGGATTATTATGGTCCACAATCACTCGTAAATATGTATAAATTGCAGTTGACAATAATGTTGGGTTGTTATTAACCCAAGCTTTGTTCTCAGTCAAAATGTCCAATACTGCCTCTGTGAGATAGATATTTCGTGGCGAGACGTCACCTCCAGCGATTTGACGCAATAATGAATGGATGACAGATTCTGCCATTGGCACTGCATTTTTCACAAATTCTTTGGACACCCAGAGAATCTGAAAGTTGAAAAATAATTACATCATCAGGGGGTTACTCTAATTGTGCTTTCATCAGACATTGCACCTTTAAATGAGTTCAGTTCATTTTCCTGGATATTGGGATATTTCTGAATTTTACCACCTTTACCTGGATTTTGTCAAATTATCTATGTTTTCCAAAAATAACCCGAGTTTCCTATATTTTTGCCATATTTCATTGGGTTTTGCCATATTTCCGTGAGATTGCCATATTTCACTGGATTTTGCCAAAATTCCCTGAGTTTTGCCATATTTACCTGGGTTTTGCCATAATTCCCCAAGTTTTGCCATATTTCCCTTTGCCATATTTACCTGGGTTTTGCCTGTGTCTTGTAACTTAAGCCACTTCTCATGTATAAGCTGATTGATTCTGCCAATAGCAATATTCAAACCATCTCTAGATACGAGAGTCATGTCTCTGTAGAACTACAAAAACAAAAGTAAGAAAAATGCAGCAACAGTTGTTTTAAATTGCAAATAGAGTAGATGAAAGTAATATTCAATAACACATTAAATGACACTGAAAATACCAGAAGTTCAATTGATTAATTCCCTATGTCAAAGGTGTTACTTAAAAAAATCTCCCAAATTAAAACTATATTGATATGATCATGTAGATTAATTGAATTTTAAATTTGAAAATGTGCGAGTAGTTATTTTCAATTTGTGAGTCATACTGATTGATTACTGTATATCCGAGTCAATTATGTAGGTTCGGCTATTATGAATTAAAACTATTTTAGGATTACTATGAGATACAGATATTGACTCATAAGGGCAAAATATGAACAATAACTTACCCTCTGAGCAACTTTCTGATCAGAAAGAGCTCCATATAACAGTCCATGCTGAACTTCTTCATGCTGTTTTGCTCCCCGTGCAATCTGAAATAGGCAGAATATGGTGTAAAATAGGCAGAATATGGTGTGAAATAGGCAGAATATGGTGTGAAATAGGCATTATAATGTAAATAGGCAGAGTATGGTGTGAAAAGGGCAAAATATGATGTAAAATAGGCAGAATGTGAAATAGACAAGATATGGTGTGAAATAGGCAGAAAATGGTCATGGTGTGACAAATAACTTTAAATTCAAATAATTAAAAAAAACATTAATTCAATAACAGATATGAGAAAGGACTAGAAATTATATGTTTGATGATTCAAGAGGTAACAGAAAGTCATCATATACTCACATATGCATTCAATATGTCATGTGTTTCTCGTTCAGTCTTTCCCGTAATCATCCCATTTACGATACCATAGCACCTACTCAACCTCTGAAAGAGACACAAAAAGGATCACAATTAAGGTTCAAATCATTGATTGTCAGCCCATCTGTGTTGACTTCAGTAGTCTTAATGGCTCAGGGGTAGAGAATCAGACACTGATCTGGAAGGTTCTGGGTTCGATTCCTGCATTGGGCAAAGGATTTGGCACTCCTTTTTGAGTCTGTATCTGGTTTGTTACACTATAGCTTCCCAGAGGCGCCCTTTGGTAGTTACAGCACAATCCATGTCAATAACACAATGTAATAATGTTATCATTGACACAATCCCTGTCAATAACACAACATATCAATGACACAATCTGTGCCAAATAAACAACATAATGTCAATCCCATTGATTTGTGTTTTAAATAATGCGTGAAATGTTGTTCAAAATGGTAACGATTAATCTTCTAGTGACTTTGTTATTGTTTGACTCAGGACCGGACCTAGATTGTGCTATTTCAAAAATGTATCTGTCGGTGATCAGATGTATCAGATATTGTTTTGATTGAAATTGAATCATTCTTTAGCAATGTTGGTTTTAAGATAAACTTAAAATCAATTCATTCTTGCAGTGAGACAGAGTCAAAAACAGAGCCGAGATCTGTGATTGTTCTCCACACAATCAGCTGATTGTGATATTGTGATCCGCTCACAAAGCGGAGGAGGAAGTATATAACTTCTCTAAAGACATCTACACAGGACAAAAACGTTACAAACGATAATCATACCAGCATTTCGACCATTGCAGTTCGTTACTTATAAGACTTAAAAAACTCAATGTCGACAGCTCAACCAATATTTGACCTAGATTCCCACCAAATTCGTGGGCGATCGTTGTTTCCAATGGCATAATAAAACGTATATTTTTACCTCATCTAGCTCATCTTTAGGGTCAAATGGGGTATTGTTGAAAAGAGTAGATGTTCCGATTTTCTTGTTGTCCATAATTTGGATAAAACAAGTCCTATTTACGGGAGAAATTTGTAAAATATTTTGTAAACACTCCGAGAAGTTTTCATTTACATGGTCCCTCGCCAATTCTGGCGCAGTAACATAGATACTTTGCAATTAGTTCAAAAGTAGTTCTCTGTGGAATCAAAAATTATTGATCGAGACATTTTTATAATTATTTCGAATAAAATAATATATTTTATATACCAAAACGTATTTAATGTGATCTATTTAGATGATCTATTTCCTAGATAATTCCTCATATGGGAAAACTTTATTTTTAGCGCAATAATCAGTTTGTGATACATCTTGCCGCAAGTGAACAAGGTCGGGCCAATTTACGACCAGGGGTACAATTACTCCCGGGAAATCCTTCGACCACCATGTTGCCCACATGACACAACCCTCAAGTTTGATGCCCGATCATTTTTTCAATTTTTTATTTTTGCGCAAAATTCGTTTTGCACCTTCATTCCAAGATACCCGGGTTTAGCGCGCGCGTACTATAACGTCACTATAGCAACGTTTTGACCTTGAACTAACACGATAGAGGAACGCGCTGCAGTGTCTGAACGGGTCACGACAATGCAGCCTTTTTGCACGTTTCATGGACAATCTTCGGTATTATTAAGGTAAGTTTAAAACGAGGAATGCCACTGGAATCCTGAGATTCACAGCTTTGACGTGGTAAGAAAAAGGATCCATAAATATTGCGATTTCTTACTGATCGAGACTCTCAAACTTTGATGAATAAAAACAGGTGCTTTTCCTGAGACCCAGCGTCTTCTTAATTTTCAGTACTTTGCTAGAAGGTTAGAGATTTTTTCTTTGGTACACATTTGGAGCACATAACAGGTGTACATTTGAGCAACTTTGAAAATTATTCATCAAATTTTGACGGAATTATCAACCAAAGTGTTGGTGGATTTTGGTGTCATTTGCAGTTCAAATTGTTAGTTTTCAGCGTCTCTAGATAAGGGATTATGAGGAAAAGTTGTGAAAAGCTTATTTGTGAGGGTTCATGAATACAGGTCAATGTGTGTGTAATATCTAAGCATAACTCCTGGTAGATTTTCTCATCCATCGCCATTTGTACCCCCCGAGACCTCAAATGTGGGTCCCTAGTCCAGTTCGAATTGTTCGATTTCCTTATATGGTGTTTAGACACCATATGAACGATTATTTCCGAAGGTTCATATATTCAGCTTAATGTGTGTTAAATAGCTAAGCATAACTCCTGATAGATTTTCTCATCCATGGCCATTTGTACCCCCGAGACCTCAAATGTGGGTCCCAAGTCCAATTCGGATAGTTCGATTTCATTATATGGTGTTTATACACCATATGAAAGATTATTTCTGAAGGTTCATATATTCAGCTTAATGTGTGTGTAATATCTAAGCATAACTCCTGGTAGATTTTCTCATCCATGGCCATTTGTACCCCCCGAGACCTCAAATGTGGGTCCCTAGTCCAATTCGGATAGTTCGATTTTATTATATGGTGTTTATACACCATATGAAAGATTATTTCTGAAGGTTCAATCATATATTCAGCTTAATGTGTGTTAACTAGCTAAGCATAACTCCTGGTAGATTTTCTGATCCATCGCCAGTTTTACCCCTGAGACCTCAAATGTGAGTCCCTAGTCCAATTCGGATAGTTAGATTTCCTTATATGGTGTTTATACACCATATGGAAGATTATTTCTGAAGGTTCATATATTCAGCTTAATGTGTGTTAAATAGCTAAGCATAACTCCTGGTAGATTTTCTCATCCATGGCCATTTGTACCCCACGAGACCTCAAATGTGGGTCCCTAGTCCAATTCGGATAGTTCGATTTCATTATATGGTGTTTATACACCATATGAAAGATTATTTCTGAAGGTTCATATGTTCATCTTAATGTGTGTTAAATAGCTAAGCATAACTCCTGGTATATTTTCTGATCCATCGCCAGTTTTACCCCTGAGACCTCAAATGTGGGTCCCTAATCCATGTAATCTGGTTTGGATTGTTCGATTTCCTTAAATGGTGTTCAGACACCACTTGAAAAGTTTATTTCTGAAGGTTCATATAATCAGCTTAGTATGTGTGTATTAGCTAAGCATAACTCCTAGTATATTTTCTCACCTATCGCCATTTGTACCCCCGAGATCTCAAATGTGGGTCCCAGACTCCCCAGTCTGGTTTGGATTGTTCGATTTCCTTATATGGTGTTCAGAGTTCAGACATGCACCACTTGAAAAGTTTATTTCTGAAGGTTCATGTATTCAGCTTAATGTGTATGTAATAGCTAAGATAAACTCCAAGTAGATTTTCTCATCCATCAACATTTGTACCCCCAAGACCTCAAATGTGGGTCTGTAGTCCGGTTCGGATTATTTGAATTCCTTATATGGCGTTTAAATACCACATGAAAAGATATAATAATACAATATATGACAATACATGTATTATATGATCTCAAGCTCATTTTGTTTACCAGTTCACTAGTTTTATTTTGTATTTTATTGGGTCTAAATTGATGGGTGCAACATTGATGGGTGCAACATTCATTCAAATTACACATATAAAAGCTTTTTATACCTTCTAAATGATCAATATTATTCATTATCAATAATGTACACTTATTTTCTTCCAGCTACCGAGTGAGAATGGACATGACTAGCAACCATGCCTCTTTACCTGTTGACTCCATCTTTGAATGTTATGCCAATGATTGAGATCTGCCATGTTGCAGAAAAATGTGATTTTCGAGGTATGTACACAATGTTAGATAAATCGAATGTACAGAGTGTCAAATAAATATGATAGATAGTTTTACTGTGCTAAGGAACAATTCAGATATCATGCAGACAAAAAAGTTACCCAACATTATGTGGATCATAAAGTTAAGGGGGAGAACATATTTATTTGATACCCTGTACAGGGTGTCCCGAAAGTATGGGGGCCCCCTAGGCGGACATATACCAATGTCTTCATAGTATGTGTCATATATCATTTTAAAGCTTATCCAAACTTACATTAATTTGCCAAGTATCATGGTTCAACTCACAAAAGGTAAATAGTTACAGGCATTTCAAAACTAAGTGTTTAGCTAAACATATAGTTCATTTCAGTATCCTGGTAACAGCCCTGACCTGAATATGACCAAAAATATGAGAGCTATTGTCGACAAAAGGATGGATATTGAGTTCTAAAAAGAGGAAGTTGGGGGTAGATACTCCAGGGAAACTCTTCTAGAATGCTTTAAAAAAGTTTTATGAGGATAAAAAAATGCCAAATCCCTATTTGAAGCACGTTTAAGGTCATATATGGAAAGCATTGCTGCCATTAACATGGCTTAGGGACTCCGGGAGACACACTGACTATTATTTTGGTGTAAAACTGACTTTAATTTTTTTAAAACTTTTTCCCATTTTGAGTTCAACCGTGATACTTGGCAGATTGGTGTAATTTTGGATGATCTTTCAAATGATATATGGCACATACTATGGAGACATTGAAAAATGTCTGCCTAGGGGGGCCCCCATACTTTCTGGACACCCTGTATATTAAATGCCCATATAAAGTTCCAGTCACTTTGGCTTAGAGCTTAGGCTTTATTATGCGTGTAGTACTCCAATAGTAGACCAATGTTTTCGAAATGCGGTATGTGAGGCCTTTCAATTTAATTTCAAGAAGACTTACTAAATACATGTACTAAATCCTGCTCTTGTGTATGTTTCATGAGATTTTATCCAAATTTTGGACAGATTTTGTTTTTTCTACTGTGACACCTGAATACTGCCACAACATCATTATTAAATATTATTTGTATACATTTACTAGTAGAATATGTAATTTCTTATATCAAATTCAATTTATTTCAGTAATGCTGACATCTACGTGCGTACTCTATACATCTGTGTGAGTGGGAATGTATGAGACTGACTCCTGAGGGAAATGCCACTGTTGTAGAGCTGCATCTCAGTCTTCTACTGACTACTATGCGGTAATTTCAAGCTTATATTTTATTTGACAAGATGGCATCTCTTGGACTCCAAAGCTGTTTGAAGCTATGAAACTTGATAATATTGTATAATTTAAAAATAAGAACATGAACACTCCTTGTAATCATCGGTAGAATTTTGGTCAATAATGATGTTTTACTTATATAACCAAGCTTAACTGAGATTTTAAATGGCAAACAATGCAATTATATGCTCCAGAAGAGGAAATAATGGAAATGTATTCAATATATTACGGGTTATGGAAAAATTTCAATTGATTTTCTTTGCAAATATCAATGTCTCTAACAATCTATTTAATAACAAACTGCAATGCATAAAAATAGATTCTATGATTATTTTAAAGCTATACAATGATAACAAACAACCCCGATACTTTTTCTTGGTATATAAAAACCTAAAAATGTTGATTAAGCAATATAATATTATGAAACAAGTTCAACACATCTAGAAATTATCATAGAGTCACCAATAGCCATTCATATTTTAGGAATCATTTTGTTGGAAATTCTATTATCTTCCTAATGATATATAATTTATGGATTTATGGAACACATCAGCAGATATTACAAAATCAAAATCAAAAATGTGGACTTTTTTGGTCTACCCTGTACATGTGTGAGATGTGTACTATATTTACGAGTGTGCCATAAAACTATTTTAAATCCTGTAACTTCAATTTTGTACCTGTAATGTGTACTAGGCCTGAGGAATGAACCAAGTCAGCTGCTAATGCTGACACACCATCCTTAATAAATGTTCTTATTTAGAATATATAATTTCTAATATTAAATTGAATTAATTTCCCAGCAAATTATTTAAAGCTATAAAATATGTAATAAAATACTGATGATTACAAGGAACTTCATGTTTTGATTTTTTTAACCATAAATATAAAGGGGCTACCGCTAAAAATCACTAAAAACAATAATTTCTAGATTATATTTAATAAATTAAATGAAAAATCTTGGTCTGTTTTACTTGGTCTTCCAATATTTTCTATGACTTTCTTTTACCCTACATGTGTTAAATAATCCTCATTTGCTTTCAGATAACAACACATTATGCT